GTTTCTTAAAGTCAAACACGGCCCTCCCTGAGCCTGACCACCCAGTTCGCAGGAATTCGCTCTGAGAAACAGAGCAGGGGGCTGTCTGCCCAGCTTTCTGGGAGGCAGCCCAGCGCGGGGGCGACCCCAGAGTCAGTCACAAGCCAGCAGACAGGTGCACGGGGACCATCCGTGTGGTGGGGCGCCCTCAGCCGTGCAGAGGCAGGCGCCGTGGACACGCACGAGCGTGGTTGAACCTCAAAGCACCCGCTGCGTGAAAGACACCAGATGAGCGTGCTGAGTCCACTCACCTGCAGTTCTAGAGGAAAGGTAGCCCCGCGCTAGCCAAGGACGGCGGCTCCGGAGAGACAGGAGGACACGCGGGGCCTGGTCCGAGTCTCGACTACCTCTGTCATCATTGCCTCCCTGATGTGCGCATCCACGGTGAGACACGTCACTTTACAGGTGGCTCTTAGCAGCTCGCTAAGCCTTGGTCATGTGGTCAAAGACTCAGAGTCCGACCCACGTTGACCCACGTAAGACCCCCAACTTCCCTTCCAGGGAGAGAAGTGCCTGTGACCTGAGCGCCCATCTGGCCCACGCTGGGACACCCCCCCCCCATGGCCTCTCCCACGCGGGCCCAGCTCCTACCTCTAGAGTCAGTGTTCACCCACGTGCATTTCTGAAAAGACTGTGAACACCCCCAAGACTGCGTGCCCACAGGGGTGCTGTGACGCGTACACCTGGTGCCCGGCGCTGGGTGAGGTCAGACCCCCCCACGCCCTGTGATGACTTTGGTGTTGCCGTGACGATGAGGACACTTCGGATCTGCTCCCGCAGCGCCTGCCAATGCCGGAGTGACCTGCCGCCGCCCCGCTGGACGCCAACCCCCCAGAGCCCCTGTCCGACTCATCTCACGAAGCAGAGTGTTCTTGGGGCCACCCCTCTTGTCCCCCAGTGGCAGATATTCCATGTTACATTTTGTCACGGGACATTGGGCTGTCTTCATGTCTTAGCTACTGCGAAGTGTTTTTAAGCTTTAGAACAACACAGAGAGATCGACAGGAAGTTGCAAAGAAAAGTGTGCCCCCTGTGACGACGGCACACTGTCTGTGGCCTCCTGTGCCCACGCGTGTGCGTGTGCGTGCCCGTTCTCAGTTTTATCACACGCAGATCTGCACAACCACTGCCACAGCGACACAGAACTGTCCCTCGCTGCCAGGCTCGTCCCGCCCCCGGCCTCCCACCCCCACCCGCTCTCCGCCTCCTCGAACCCGTGACCCTGGGACCGTTGCGTACGTGGCAACATAGTGACCCGTTGAGGTTGGCTCGAGTCACTCGGCAGAATTTCCTTGTGAGCGTGGAGGGCTGCACTTCCCGACACTCTGTCCCTTTCGATGCTGTGCCCAGGACACAGATGAGGGACCCCGGAGTCTCCACTGGGACGGGTCTGCCTGCGTCGTTATTTCTCTTGAGTCAGTTTTTGGAGTCTGTGTGTTTGTAGGGAGGTACCCACTCTGTGAAGGTCATCTTACCCCTCGTCAGGGACCAAGGTGCTGGGAGAGGCGGGGCCCGGTGGGGCCATAGTGACCTCACGCCCGGTTCTGCTCCCTCCGATTCTCCCCGTGGGCGTGGACCGCCATCTGGTGCCGTCGGCTCTCACCTCCTCCCCAGCCACCGAGATTGCTTCACGCGATGCTTCTCTGTCAAGGCCACGGCGGCCACTCCGGGCCTGTCTGTGCTCACGCCGACCTCGCCATTCCCCACAGACGCGCCCGGCAGGCACAGGCTGTTCTGCGGACACCTTCACAACACCCGCAGCCTGGGCCGCTCTGTGGTCCCGGAGGGCCTCTCTCCTCATTTCTGCCACCAGAATCTTGTCTGCGGTCACTGGCATGTGGGTCCCAGGCTGGTGAGTGCGACTCACCCTTAAGTGTGGAATCTTCTTTGGAGCAGTTGTAAGTGGTGCTGAAACGGCAATTTTGTTTCGCACGTGTTTGTGGTTAGTGTGTACAATGCGATTCCTTTTTGCGTAGTGACCTTACTGAACTTACCTGTTGGTTGTACTGTTTGGGGTTTTTTTTAGACTCTTTAGGAAATTCTATGTAGCCAATCACGCTCTGTATGGAAAGGGACGTTTCCCTTGTCGCTCTCTGTACGCCTTCTACTTCGTCTTGCCTTGTTCTGCCGGGCGGAGCTGTCCCTACCGTTCACAGGAAGACTGGTGAGGACAGGACACGCCTCATTCTTGATATCAGGAGAAAAGCCAGGGGTCGTCCGTCAGCGAGTATGATATTAGTTATGCTTTTGGAGTTGTTCGTAGGTATTCTATCAAGTTCAGAAAGTTCCCCTCTATTCCTACTTAATGAAGGTTTGTTTGTTTAATATATTTTTAAAAGACTTTACTTATTTATCTTTAGAGGGTTAGGGAAGGAGAGAGAAACATCAGTGTGTGGTTGCCTCTCGTGTGTCCCCCACTGGGAACTGGCCTGCAACCCAGGCATGTGCCCTGACTGGGAATCGAACCACGGTTGTCTGGATCGCAGGCCCGCACTCAATCCACTGAGCTACACCGGCCAGGGCAAGGCGTGTTTTTCTTAAATCATGTGTAGATGTTGTATTTTGTTGAAGATTTTCCCTGCACCTATTGAAATAATCATGTGGGTTTTGTACTAAATTTTATTAATATGATGTATTACATTTATCAATTTTCAGATAACAAAGCAGCCTTTTGCTTCCAGGATAAATAGCACTTGGTTATGAGATGTCATTTTTAAATTTTTTTTTTATTTTTACATAGGAGAAGGGAGAAAAAGGGAGAGAAACATCAGTGTGTGGTTGCCTGTCACGCACCCCCTATTGACGTCCTGACTGGGATTCGAACCCTCAGTACTTTGGTTTGCAGGCCTGTGCTCAGTCCACTGAGCCAACCAGCCAGAGTGAGATATAATTTTGTATGTGGTGCTGGATTAAGTTTGCTAGCATATTCAAGATTTTTCTGTCGGTTTGTGAAGGATATTTGTGTGTAGTTTTCTTTCCCTGTAACCCCTGTGACTGGTCTGGGCATCGAAACCACACTGGCCTCTTAGAATCAGTTGAAGCTTGTTCTCTGCTGTGTTTTCTAGGAGAATTTTAAACGGCGGGTGTCCATTCCTTTTTTTTTTTTTTAATTTTAATTGTTGTTCAAATACAGTTTTCTGCCTTTTACTCCCATCCCAGTGGTGTCCATTTTTCAATGCTTCCTAAAATTCATAAAAGTCATCTTAACCTGGGCTTGATTTTATGAGAATATTTTTAAAATATATTTTATCAATTATGCTATTACAGTTTCCTATTTTTCTCCCTTTATTCCCCTGCGCCCTGTACCTCCCTCCCACCCGCATTGCCCCCCTTAGTTCATGTCGATGGGTCATATATATAAGTTCTCTGGCTTCTACATTTCCTGTACTATTCTTAACCTCCTCGTTTATTTTGTACCTATCTATTTTGCTTATTCCCTGTACCTACCTCCCACCATTCTTCCCCCTCCCCCTCCCTGCTGATAACCCTCCATGTGATCTCCATTTCTGTGATTTTGTTCCTGTTCTAGTTGTTTGCTGAGTTTGTTTTTGTGTTTTCAGGTTCAATTATTGATTGTTGTGAATTTGTTATCATTTTACTGTTCATATTCTTAATCATCTTAGATAAGTCCCTTTAACATTTCATATAACAAGGGCTCGGTGATGATGAACTCCTATAACTTGACCTTATCTGGGAAGCATTTATCTGCCCTCCCGTTCTAAGTAACAGCTTTAGCCCCACAGACTCCCACGTTCAGTAACTTAAAAGACAACAACAAAAAGAAGTTTCTCAAACGTTGTATGCGTTTTGTCAATTTCCAGGGTCCTGGAATGGCTTTTAACAACTGTCCAGTTTTGTGTCGCCTTTGGAAGGACTGTTTGCTCAGCTCCTGCATGTGCTCTTCCGAAGGCCCACACTTACGGTTTCTGCCAGCTTCACTGAAAGCCATAAAGAGGGACCGAGGAGCCCTAACAAGTGTGGCTCAGTGGGTTTCACGTCATCCCATAAACCCAAAAGGTCACCGGTTTAACTCCGGGTCGGGACATCTGTTTCTCTCCCTCTCTTTCTCCCTATCTCCTCTCTTTAAAAAAAATAAAATCTTTTTAAAAATGAACACTTGAATAAATAAATAAATCCTTTTTAAAAACACCCCCAGAAGTGAAGGCTGTGACGCAGCCTTCCCCCGCGTCTACACGTGCGCCGGCCAGAGGGGACCTTGAGGCCTGCGACCCACGTCCTGCGCGGCTGGGATCCATCCCCGCGGGAGGCAAGGGAGCCAGGAGGCTGCAGCGTGGCCCCGAGCCGGAGCCGGACAGACCGGCAATGGCACTGCGTTCCTGGTCTGCTCTCTCGATGGGCGGCCCTGTAGCGCCCCCTCCCGGGGGGGGGGGTGAACGACCGCACTGCCGTCGCTGCTCCAGAGCCTCTGCTGGGCGCTGCGGTTCAGCGACCCGGACCCGTATGCACAGTGCTGGGCCGCGGGGCCGTGACCTGCGCGCAGGAGGCGCGGGAGAGACTGAGGCAGGAGGGAACCACAGGGTCATGAGGCGTGGCGGTTTTCGGGGCCTGGGTCGGGGAGACGACCCTGAACGCCGGTCCCCGAACAGCCGCGGTCCCCACTTTCCGCGATCTCAGCCTCGGGCGGAAGACGGGCCTGGGTTCTCCCCCAGGTGGCGGGGCGCACCCCACTGACACCGGCTTCAGCGACCGCCGGCAAGGCCAGCAAGTCCCCATGCTCGGGCACTGGGCACAGGCGGGACTCCGCGGGGGTCTTCAGACCTCCGATCGCGCGCAGTCCTTCCGCCGCAGGCCGGACCCTCCTCAACCGGGCGTAGTTTCCCGGGGACGCGTTTCCCGCTGCATCGCGGGCCGCCCGGACCGCCGTGGCTGACGCACCTTCCGGCAGCCGCGGCACTGAGCCCTGGGCTCGGCTGCGGCCCGGCGGCAGCCCTAAGGAGGTGGCTTCTGCACCCTGCGCGCGCCCGGAGCCCTGCACGCCATTCGGAGGACCCCACCGGCGGGCGCCCAGGCTCGGCCAACTCAGGTACGTTCCCCGCAGGGTCTCGCTTGGGGTTGCCGCCGCCGGGCCCCTCCTTCACGGGGGCTGCGTGTGCCCTGCATGCTTGGGGACCCCGGTGACATCTAGATACTTTTTAATATATAATCTCAGTTTCCAAAAGCACCCCACGCACAGCTGGGTGCTTGGTCCCTAAAGTTACGGTCTTGCTCAACGATCGTGGGCCCAGTCTCCTGGAGTAAGAGCTGTCAGGGCGCGTCCCCGCGGGTCCGATCCCGCCTGGGCCGGCAGGGCGGGTCCCTCCAGGGGGGTGGTGAGTGCTGTCTCCGAACTCACTAGTGACCCGGCCAGGTCCCACATGACACCCAGGAGGCTGGTCAAAAGGGTCACTCTGATTCCCATTTTCAGTGATGTCCCCACTGGGTGGTCCCACCTTGGGATCCCCAGGCCTTGTAATTATATCTTCTCTTTGTGCGGGCCTGCAGTGCCCAGGAGCCCCCTGAGACGCTGCTTCCGCGGTTTCATTTACCCCATACCAATCCAGCCAGGAAGAAGTGAGGGCCCAGGCTCAGGGGCTGAATGACTTGCCCAGGTCTCCGCGGGGAGTGACGGCACTGGGGTGGTCCTGGGGACAGTTTGGTCCTCAGCCCGTGTGGCTCCGTGGCATCGCTGAGCCCCCGTTCTCCCCCCACAGTGTGGAGAGATGCCAAAGTTGCAAGGCTTCGAGTTCTGGAGCCGCACCCTGGGGGGTGCCCGCCACATAGTGGCCCCCATGGTGGACCAGAGCGAGCTGGCTTGGAGGCTGCTGAGTCGCCGCCACGGGGCCCAGCTGTGCTACACACCCATGCTGCACGCTCAGGTCTTTGTCCGCGATGCCAACTACCGAAAGGAGAACCTGTACTGCGAGGTGTGCCCCGAGGACCGGCCCCTCATCGTGCAGGTGTGCGGGCCTGACTCCTTGACACCTGGGAGCACCTTTTCCTCGTCCCTGGGTTGGAGGGAGAGGAGGGGCGGGGTGGGGCCGTGGAAGCCTTTCCCAGAGCTTGACCTCTTCGTGGGTCGTGGCTCAGACCTTGGCGAATGGACAGTGAGGCTGCTGGGAAAGACCCACAGCCCCGTGACACCCCTGTGAGCCAGGTCTCAGGCTGCCTCCGTGTCAGAACCATGTAAATAAATGGCTCCGCTCTCGGCAGGTCTGTGAGCCGGGCTCTCGCCTACAGTGGAGAGAGAGTCTGGTGTGTGCGCATGGATCTGACTGAGTTGCTTTGCAAGGACCAGGGACAGGAGACCATCCTCCAGTCTGCCCCTGGGGCCACATCCCCACTGGGTCACATAGGAACCCTTGTGGGCGGCGGGCCAGGGCCAGGGCCCGGCCCGAATTTGTGGTGACCATCCCATCCTTCCTAGTTCTGTGCCAACGACCCGGAGGTGTTTGTCCAGGCGGGACTCCTGGCGCAGGACTGCTGCGATGCCATCGACCTGAATCTGGGCTGCCCACAAATGATCGCAAAGCGGGGTGAGTGCAGAGCTGGGGGTGCCTGGCAGCCGGGGCTGCTCCAGGGAGCAGCAGGGGGCAGGGGGCTGCCAAGTGCCTGGGAGTCGGTGGGCTCCTCTGGGTAAATGTGTTGTGCTCACAGGAGACCCCCATTAGCCTGGGTGCCGTGCAGCCCCTGTGGCCGTTGCCCTTGTGAGGGGCCCGCCTTCCCTCCTCGGGGCCTGAGCAGTAGCCGCGTGGTCCGAGACCACGTGGGGTGGCCCGCCATTTAGCGTCCTGGAGCGGGGGCAGCTTAGTGACCTACGGCCGGAGACACCCACTCAGGGAAATCTCAGCCCAGGGCTCTGGACAGTGCGCAGCCCACACAGGGGGCTCAGGCCTGCCTGGCAGGTCGGCTTGTGGCCTGTGAGGACACGGGCAGAGGAGGGATGCAGAGGACCGTGCTTGTCCCCGCAGGTCACTATGGAGCTTTCCTGCAGGAGGAGTGGGACCTGCTCCAGAGGATGAGTGAGTTGGCCTTGCGCTGCCTGTGGGCAGTGGGGCCGTGTGTGAGGGTGGGGTGGGGGGTGGTGACCGGCAGAGGTGCCCTTCGGGGGCTCAGCTGTGGGTTCCCACTGCCTGACCCACAGGGTGCGGTGTGCATGATGGGTCTCAGAAGCCAACTCTCCTTTGCCCCAGTTCAGCTGGCCCACGAGAAGCTCTCTGTCCCGATTACATGCAAGATCCGTGTCTTCCCAGAGATCGACAAGACGGTACGGTACGCCCAGATGCTGGAGAAAGCTGGCTGCCAGGTGAGGGGCTGGGGGCTGGGGGACCCTGCTCCCTGGGACAGCTCACCCTCTGGGGGTGGGCAGGAACCACAGCAACCTCGAGGCCTGATGAGGGTGGGGGAGCCCATTGTCGCTCTCGTGAAGGAGGGAAGTACTAAGCAAGGGGGTGCTGCCGGGCCTTCCCCCCCCCCAGTCCTGGGGTCAGGTAGCTGCCCCTCCCTCATGCCTGGCCCCCGAACAGGACTGTGCTTCTCAGCTGCACCCTGGCCTGACCCCAGAGCACCGGCTGGCCCCGTGTGCAGCCCAGGGGCGCCCTGCCCCGGATCTGGTAGGGACAGGGCCTGAGAGACCCAGGTCCGGGGCAGCCAGCCCTTCCTCCACTCTGCATGGAGCTCGGTGCCCTGAAGCCACGGGGGGGGATCCCCGGGGTCGGGCTGCAGCTGAGTCAGCACTGCTGTGTCCCAGCTGCTGACGGTACACGGGCGCACGAAGGAGCAGAAGGGGCCCCTCTCGGGTGCTGCGTCCTGGGAGCACATCAGGGCCGTGCGGTGAGTGGGGGCAGCCTGGCCCCGGACATGCTCCTCGGCACGCTGGGCAGTGGTGGAGGAGGGAAGCACCTGCCAAACGGCTCCTGGGAACTGTCCTGGGAGGCGGTGAGGGGGGGCTGGGCTCCTCCCTCCTGAGGGCCCCTCCCGCCCTCACAGGAGGGCTGTGTCCATCCCCGTGTTCGCCAATGGGAACATCCAGTGCCTGCGAGACGTGGAACGCTGTATCCGGGACACAGGCGTGCAGGGGGTCATGAGTGCAGGTGAGCGGGCGCTGCCGCCCGTGGTGCAGGGGTGTCCATGCCGTGCCGCCACTGGCCCAGCTGAAGGGCTCAGCTGTCCAGCTGTCCTCACCCAGTCCCAAGCTCCCAGCCGTGGCTGGTCCGGGGCTGGGCGGCAGCGTGTCCTTGGTGTGATGTGGTGTGGGAAGGGGGTTGTCCCTCCGGGAACGTGAGTGTCCTCAGTCTCAGCCTCTCTGCACCCCCTGCAGAGGGCAACCTGCACAACCCTGCGCTGTTCGAGGGCCGCAGCCCTGCCGTGTGGGAGCTGGCCGAGGAGTACCTGGACCTCGTGCGCCAGCACCCCTGCCCCCTGTCCTGTGTCCGCGCCCATCTCTTCAAGCTGTGGCACCACACGTGAGTTGGCCCCGGCCCGGCGCCGTCTGCTCTGAGTCCGCCTGGGCCATTGCAGGTGATACAGGTGTCTTTAGAGGCATCACTAGGATTATTTGCCACCAAACCTGGCCTCAAAGGGCCGGTGACCATGAGGTCAGGCGGGAAGCCTGGGTTGGAAGAGAAAGGGGCAGTTCCCCTCTGCCCAGGGCTCAGGTCGGTGGCCCAGAGCTGGGCACCTGGCCCACTGTGCTGGGGCTCCTGTCTCAGGCTGCAGGTGCACCAGCAGCTTCGAGAGGAGCTCGCCAAAGTGAAGACCCTGGAGGGCATCGCTGCCGTGAGCCAGGAGCTGAAGCTGCGGTGTCAGGCATGTGTGGGGTGACTGGGAGCCTCCCTGTGCGTCTGGGTGGGGCTGGGCCGGTGACCAAGGGCCCTCGGGGCTTTTGCAGGAGGACATGTGCAGGCAGGAGGGGGAGGAGCCCTCGGGGGGCTTGCCTTTCTTCCACTGGATCTGCCAGCCCTACTTCCGGCCGGGGTGAGTGCCACAGGTGTGGGGGGCGGCGGTCGGGCAGGGCCAAGCTCTGCACCACCACCCCCAAGAACCCTAGCACCTCTCCCCGGCTTGTGGATGCTGAGGCTTTGAATCTTTTTCTCCTTTCCCTCTGATCCTGGGTCACTTTCCTCTGGGCTCTCAGAGGTGAGGCCAGGTACTGCCTGTGGCCAGGACCCTGCCTGGGCTTCAGTGCTTCAGACCCTGGAGCACCAGTGTCCCGGCCTCCACGCTGGCCCAGCCCTGGTGGCCGGAAGCTGAGCTGCTGTGGGTGTGGCCGGGGGCCCTCCTGTGGGTGTCCCCTAGTCTGCCCAATGACCTCCCCTTTCAGGCCCAAGGAGGCAAGCCAGGAGAGCACAGGCCCCCGCAGCAAGCGGGCCCTGGAGGAAGAGGAGGGTGGTGCGGACACGCTGTCCAAGAACAAGCAGAAGAAGCAGCTGCGGAACCCCCACAAGACCTTCGACCCCTCGCTGAAGCGTGAGCTGCTACAGCTGCTGCCCGCGGCAGTGGGAAAAGCCTGGGCCTGGGCTGGGGTGGGACGGGCCCTGGAGGTTGGGCCCTGGGGTGAGACGGGCCCTGGAGGTGGGGGGCCGCAGTGGGCAGGTACGGCTGCGGAGGGAGCGGCCTGCTCACCGGGACCTCTGCGCTTCCCACAGCAAAATATGCGAAATGTGACCAGTGTGGAAACCCAAAGGTGAGCTGGCCCTGCCGCCGCACTGCCCAGGGAAGGGGGGCGGCTGGGCCCCAGGGCTGCCCGGCACCCACGGGGGGCTGTCCTGCATTGTCTGCAGGGGTGCAGCCCCCTTGGCACAGACTCACTGGCTCTTCTGTGCCCAGGGCAACAGATGTGTGTTCAACCTGTGCCGTGGCTGCTGCAAGAAGCGTGCTTTCAGAGAGACCGCAGACTGCCAAGGTGAGGGGCGCCAGCCACTCGCACCTCACAACCCCTCCCTGGGCCTGTGGGCCTTCTGAGCTCCATTCCCTTCCCCACTTCCTCACCAGGTCACGGACTGCTCTTTAAAACCAAACTGGAGAAGTCTCTGGCCTGGAAGGCAGCCCAGCCCCGGCTGCAGGAGCCACAGCCAGCAGGGCCTGGGGACCCAGGTGGCTTCCCTGAGGTTGTGGGCAGTGCCCTGGCCTGAAGGGCCAGTGGAGGCCAATGCACCGCCCCTCCAAGTCCCCTTAAGGACACATCTTCACTCAGGGAACCTCCGGCTCTTGGACATGGAAGGACGAGCTCACGGTCCCCTCAGTCCTGGGGCCCAGAGCTGCACCGTGAGCATGGCCCCAGGCTGGACCTGCCCCGTCCTTGCAACCGTGCGCACTCAAACTGGACAATAAATCTCCGAAGACACGTGCTGAGCCAGCCTGTGATGCCGCAGCTGCAGCTGTGTACAGGGAGAGGGTCTGGGCCCACAGGCCTGGGAGGCCAGGGAGACTGGTGGGGACTCCTGCCTTGGCCTCTGAGCCCAGAGATGGCCCTGGTCTGAGCAGCCAGGAGGTGTAAGCGTCACCCTGCCGAGGTGGGGCCTTGCTGCTTGAGTGTGTGGGGCCAGAGCCGACCCCAGGGCCGCCGCAGAAGGCACAGTGCGAGGGGGCTGTTCTCAGGCTGCTCTTTAATGGACTAAGACAACGGCCTGCAGCCCCGGAGGATGCCAGAGTAGGGGGCCCTCCTCTCCTTCCAGGCTGACCCCTGTGCCCTGGGCACACGGCAGGGGCCCCTCCAGGAGTCCGAGTCTGCGGGCTGTGGGTGGAGCATGCGGGTCTTCCCGGAGGCGGAGGGAGGCCCCTCACATGTTGGTGCTCATGCGGGACTGGCTGTTGGCCGGCGTCAGCTCGCCCTGGCTCCCTTCCCGGGGCGGGGACTTGACGTGGATCTGGTTGCGCAGCACAGCCGCCCGCAGGATCATGGCCTTGGCGCGCCGCTGGAACTCCTTGCCCATGAGCAGGGACTTCTCGAAGGTGGTGCTGCGCTGGTCCACGTCCCGGGCATACAGGATCTGCAGGGCGGGAGTGGGGGGCAAGGGCAGGTTAGTGGGGCCCGGGCACCCCCACACCCCACACCCCCCGGCCCCGCTGCCACCTTGCTGTGGGAGTCGATGCGGGCGCTGATGAGCCCCTCCAGGATGAGCTGCGTCAGCTCGTCCTCCAGCGCCGCCACCGTGGTGTTGAAGGCCGTGGCCATCCTGCGCATGTCGGCCGACACGTAGGGGCTGAAATACTGTACAGTGGAGGGCGTCAGCTGCCAGGGCCCCAGCCCGTGCCTCGCCGTGGCCTGCCTGCCCCCTGCCCCACTCACCTGGATGAGGGCACGGTTGCGAATCTGGGTGTATAGGGTCCTGACGTGAGGGGCCAGGTACATGTCCAGGAGCAGGTTGTCCTGGCAAGGGGGGCTGGTCAGGGGCCGCTGCCCCAGCCCTCCCCCCTGAGGCTGCCCCCGGCAGGCCAGCCCCTCACCTTCATCTCGTCCAGCATCTTCAGGCAGGAAGCGTACTTGGACTCATAGAACTTGAAGATGATGTCTCGGATCTGGGGCTCCAGCTCCAAGAACAGCTTGAAGGAGCTGCGGGAGCCGCACCCCTCAGAGCCGCCCTGCACCCGCCCTGCTCGCACCCACCTGCCCTGGGGGACGGCGGCCGGGGGCCCACCTGCTAGAGATGACATTGCGCTGCAGCTCCTGTCGGTCGAAGGTGGCCAGGGCGCACAGGCCACCGTACACAGCCACGTTGCTGGGTGACAGCAACTGAAGGAAGAAGAGACCTGGGGTCACTGCTGGTCTGGACAGAAGCCAGGGAGGAAGCATGGAGCTGGCACTGTTCCCCGACCGACCCCCAACTCCAAAGGCTTCCGACCCCACTGGGAGAGAAGCCCCAACAGAGCCAGCTACGAGCCCTCGCCACTTCCAAGGCCCAGTGAGGGCGGTTCCCTCGACGCCCCTCACCTCGGGGAAGTCGCAGTGGTCAAAGGAGGCCAGCAGGAAGCACTTGGCTGCCTGCTTGTACTTGCGAGCAGCCAGCTCAGCCAGCCCTGGGGGGAAAGGAAGGTGAGGCCCAGCTGCCCGGGGGCTCCTTGGCTCCAGGGATGAGTGACACCCAAGAGTGCCCACAGGACGCTTGCCATGGGTCAGGCACCCAGGAAGCCAGCACAGCTGCCGTTACCGTTCTGGGGACCCACGGAGGGACTGCCCGGACAGTGGCTATCAGAGGCAGTGTTCGTTCGCACTCCTGACCATGCATCACAAGCCAGACGACGTGTGGGGTCTGAGGGTCTGCGCCACGAGAGAACAGCTGCCCACTGTGGGGGTAGCACAGGGTCTCACCTGCGGCGCACTTGAGCTTGGTGAGGATGGCCTGGGTCTGGCTGTCCCGCTCCCCACGCTGCTGCAGGGGAAGACGGCACCCGTGAGCCCCTCACACCCTCCCTGTCCTCCCCGCCCTCAGGCCAACCCCAGCAACCCCCTGCCAGGGACAGCCAGGGAATGTAGGAGGGAGGATGAGGCCCACGCCCAGCCAGCAGGGGTCAGAGGAGACAGACCAAGAACGAGTTACCTCTGCGATCTCAGGGGTGGACTCAGCCTTGCTGACGTAGCTCAGCACATGAGACCAGTTCTGCAGGTAGACGCTGACCTGGGGGTGGGGGTGGGGGTGGGCTCAGCCTGGGGTGCCCCTTCCCACCGGCCCAGGGCACTGCTGCCCTGCCCCCCCTCCTGCAAGGCACACCTTGATGACGTTGAGGCACATGTTGATAACGTGCTTGGCGCTGGTGCAGTAGTCCCGGGCCCGGGAGTAACATTTGAGGGCGTTGCTGAGGTCCCCACAGTCGAGGTAGTGGTCACCTAGGTCATCGTGGCCGCGCCTGTGGGACAGGCTGTAAGTGGACACTGCCCAGTGTGGGCCTGGCCACCCTGCTGCCCCTCTGCTTCCCGCCTCAGTTGGCACCTGATGCTCTCCTTGATGGAGTTGCCCTTGTAGTTTTTCAAGTCTGTGTCCAGCTTCTCCAGCTTCAGCAGGGCCTTCTTCCGAGTGGCCTCCACCCAGGCCGTGTCCAGTGGTGGGGGGTCCACGCCACTCTCAGGGATGGCGTCCGGCGTGCTCTGCAGGTCCCTGAGGGAGGGCCTGGCCATCAGGGCTGATGTGGCAGTTGGAAGGCCCCTCCTAGGAGCCCCTGCCCTGCCACAGCTCTGGGGGCAGCACCCGGTCTGCAGGGAGCACAGGGGCAGCCTTGAGGGAGCCCGACGGGAACAGTGCTGTGGGTGCACCGAGGGCAGAGAGACAGGTCACTGTCAGCACAAGCTCTGCGCAGTGTCAGAACGATGGCCCGAGCACAGGTGCACCGGAAGTCTGAGTCCTGACTTCCCCCAGCTGGGGCAGAGAGCACCCAGGCTGGTCTACCAAGTATGACCTTCCTGGCTCTCTCACAAGGCCACCGTGCTGAAAGGGTGCTGCTGTAAGTGGCTGCACAAAGAGGGGCCGGCGTCACAGCAGCACAACAAGGTGGACCCTGATGGGAACACAGCGGGCCAGGCCTGCCGCCTTTGGCCCAGGCCCTGGCTTTCACCTGGTGGCCTCTGAGAGCTTCCGGTGGATCTCCTCATACACATCCACATTGAAGGTCCTCTGCACGAAGGACAGGGCCATCTTCAGGGCCTCCACCCGCAGCGGGGGACAGTGGTCTGCAATGAACTGCAGGCGCTCGATGCGCATCAGGCCACTGTAGCTGGCTGCATACTGCTCCAGGTCCTGGGGGGTGGGGGGTGCGGGACTGTGCAAGGCAGGAACCCGGGCCGAGTCCCAGCTGGCAAGGCAGGAGCAGCAGCCAGAGAGCTGATCCTTCCCTATGTCTGACAGGCCTGGAGCCTCCGGCATAGACCCACACCCATGAGGCTGGGCTGGAACACTCAACATGCAGGTGACCTGGGACCCAACTGTCCCACGGGGAAGAAGTGGGGTGCAGGATCCTGAGCTAGCAACCATCACATGAGGGCATTTAGGAACCCTAGAGGTTGCTGGATTACAGCGAGACCTGGCCCAAGTGGGGCACGCAGCCTGGACCCCCAGAAGCGCCAACACCCCCACCAAGGCTCCTACCAGGGTAGGGTTTTCCACCACGTAGCTGACATCAGGGGCGTTCTGAGGGTCCTCCTGGGGGTCCACATCTATCTGCATGGGCTCCACGGCCCCCTGCAACGCGGCACCTCGTCAGCTCGAGCAGGGGACTGCCCGGGGCAGGTGAGAAGCCCTCACTGTGCCCTGAGCCCAGCTCCGCTGGCCCTCCCCACCCGCCTCGCGCACCGCCCCTCCGGAGGGCTCCTTGCAGGACCAGCGGCTCCAAGAGAGGAGCCGGGGCAGACTCTAACCGCCCATCTGCAGAGCGGGGCAGCCCAGATGGTCCCTACACGTTCCCAGCCACCGTCTTGATGCAGCTTCCTCCGAGCCACAGGGGAGAGGCGGGGTCGACCTGAACCCGGGAGCAACCCGAGCAGCCCGTGCAGCAGTGCGGGTTAGTGCCGCCGCGGGGTCGGCGCCGACCGCGGCCGGGAGGGTCCCGGGCGCCGGCGGCGGGCGGCCGCCTGCCGGCTCGATGGCTGGCTGGCTGGCTGTCCCGGGCCCCTGTCCTGGACGGTACCTCATAGAGCAGCGTACAGGCCGACAGGCTGGCGCTCAGGCTGCAGTCCCCGGCCGTGCCCGGCAGGAAGACGTCTGCCCTACTGCTGGGGGGCGCGGGGCACAGCGCTGTCACGGACGCGGCGGCCGCGCTGGGGGCCGGGCTATCCCTCATTCTGTCCTGACTCTCTGCACCCCCCGACCCTGACACAGAGCTGGCTGGCTGCTGCGGGGAGAAAGAGCGTTAGCGCGGCGGGCCTGCCGCCGCCGACGCGCGGGACGCTGCGGGGCTCGGGGCGGGGCGCGCGGGCCGCTCGGCCGGCCTCGGCCTCGGCCTCGGCTCCGGCCCAGCGGCTGGGATGCGGGGGCGGGGGGGCCGCCGGCCGCCGCTGGTTACCTGCAAGTTAAACACCTGAACCGGCAGCGGCATCTTCGCCCACCCCGCCGCGGCGCGCCGTCCACTTCCGGGGCAGCGCGGCTGGCCGCTTCCGGGTCGCGGCGCGGGCCGGGTGGCTCTTAAAGGGGCTGCGGCGCGCGCTTGGCCCGGGCGCTGCGGGCCAGTCAGCGGCCGCATGAGCCGTGTGCGGTTGGCGCTGTGTCGGGCCTGTCTCGCCCTGGCTGCGGCCCTGGCCGCCCTGCTCCTACTACCGCTACCGTTGCCCCGTGCGCCCCCCGCGGTACCGACCCCCGGCTCCGGCCCCGGCCCCGGACTGCGTGCTTCCCTCGCCCCCGCCCCAGTCCCCAGCCTGCGGCCTGAGGACCTCTTCATCGCCGTAAAGACCACCCGGAAGAACCACGGACCGCGCCTGGGGCTGCTGCTGCGCACCTGGATCTCCCGGGCTCGCCGACAGGTGGGCTTTGCCCCAGGCCACTTACCCCAGCTCCGTCTTCAGCAGAGTGGCCTGGCCCCGCGTCCTGAGCCCTGGGGACCCCCAGTGCCCACCTCCTCTTATTCCTTCTTGGGTTCTAGACTTGGGTGGGTCTTCCTGAGCTGACATAGGGCCGAGAAGCTGGAAGCTTCTATGAGCCTAGGTCTGGCCTCAAAAGCATTGGACCTGCTGAGGGTGGGAGCAGGCTGGAGGTGGGACACCACCTGCCCCCCCACCCCACCCCACCTACAAGCCTTGGTCTGGCCTGGAAACACTTATCCTGAGCCCCCCCCCCCCCCCGCCTCACCCTCAGTCACTGGGGCCAAGGCCCCACCGTTCACCTCACAAGTGGTCTCTCCCTAGACTTTCATCTTTACGGATGGAGACGACCCTGACCTGCAGTTTCAGGGAGGTGAGTGCCCCCTAGCCAGCGTGCCCAGTGCCCCTCCTCACTCTGTCCTTGGTCCAGCGCCATGCGCCTCCCTGCTGTGTAGAGGCTCAGGGGAGTTAAGTCACCTGGTCAGGGTCACCAGCTGGTGGAGGGCAGCATCCACAGCCCCACCCACCAGCTACACTCTGCTTCCTTCCACCGTCTAACCCTTCCACATGTCCTGGAGAAGCCCAGCCATTGGGTCAGTCCCCCCTTGGGCCATTCCCCGATGTGCATCCACTTTGGGGGGTTCCAGGTAGTCATCCATCTGGCTGGGCCGTAGGGTCAGCAACAGGGTCAGCTGGGTGAGGCCAAGCTGGGCCTGGAGCAGAACAAGGCCTCTGGGGCCTGCGGGGCCACCACGTTTCACCCTGGTCTCAGTGGGGTGGGCTGGTGGCCAGCCTGACCCTGGCCCTCACGTGTCCTCCACCCCCTGAAACCCACAGGCAGCCACGTCATCAACACCAACTGCTCGGCGGCGCACACCCGCCAGGCACTGTGCTGCAAGATGTCGGTGGAGTATGACAAGTTCCTCGAGTCCAAGCGCAAGTGTGTGGTGGCTGAGCCCCTGGGGGGCTGGGGTCTCACACCTGCCGCCGGTGCTGAAGCTGACGCTGCCCCCAGGTGGTTCTGCCACGTGGACGATGACAACTACGTGAATGCCGAGGGCCTGCTGCAGCTGCTGTCTGCCTTCTCCCCCAGCCAGGACATCTACCTGGGGCGGCCCAGCCTGGACCATCCCATCGAGGCTGCCGAGCGGGTCCAGGGAGGTGGCACCGTGAGCACAGGGCCAGGGAGGGGCACGTGTTGGGCCCACTTGCGTGGGACGCTGCAGTGGCTTGGCAAGCTGGGAGGTCCTATGGGAGGGGTTGGGGCCATAAGGCAACTAAGTGGCACCAGCCCCATCCCCTCGGGGCCCAGGAGCTTCTGCTGCTGGTACCTGGAGCTGCTAAGGATTGGCTCACAAGTGACACGCCGGTGTCCAGAATCAGGGTGAGGAGCTCTGACTGGTGGCTCCCTCCTCCCCAGGTGACCACTGTCAAGTTCTGGTTTGCTACCGGGGGGGCCGGGTTCTGCCTCAGCCGAGGCCTCGCCCTGAAAATGAGCCCGTGGGCCAGGTGAGGGGGACCACAGGGGCACCAGCTACCCAGGGAGGGGGCCCAGGACCGGAGGGGCACTGACTACCCCATCCCGCAGCCTGGGTAGCTTCATGAGCACAGCGGAGCGGCTGAGGCTGCCGGACGACTGCACGGTGGGCTACATCGCGGAGGGGATGCTGGGGGCACGCCTGCGGCACAGCTCACTCTTCCACTCCCACCTGGAGAACCTGCGCAGGCTGCCGCCCGACACCGTGCTCCAGCAGGTGTGCCTCTGCGGGCGTGTGGGGTCCTGGCCTAGAGGGTCTCCCGGCTGAGGGAGGTATTTGAACGTCGCCAGGGTGGGTCCCAGGTGTGGTGGGGGCTCGTCTGCAAAGGGCACCTGCTGTGCTTTCCCAGGTAGACAGGCCCGGGGCAGCGGGTAGTGGTCTGGGCAGCAATGGGAGTCCCAGAGGAGGGCATGGGGACGGTGGATCGTCTTGGGGCAGGGGCACCAGCGGCCCCCCTGCAGCGGTTTCTGTGCTGGCTGCACTGCTCAGCCTGTCCCTCACAGTGCTGCTCAGACCTGCTCGGGGTGCCCAGGGGGCTCTCCTGGCTGGATCCTCAGGGGGCTGTGGGGGGCTAGGGGGTGAGTCACCTTTCTTTCCTCGTAGGTGACCTTGAGCTACGGGGGTCCCGAGAACCCACTTAACGTGGTGAACGTGGCTGGAGCCTTCAGTCTGCAGCAGGACCCCACACGGTGAGTGGGCCGCGGGGAGGGGCTCTGGAGCCAGCCCACCCTTCCTGTGGCCCTCATTCCACCCACCCCTTTCCAGGTTTAAGTCTGTCCACTGCCTTCACTACCCAGACACAGACTGGTGTCCTGCGCAGAAGCGGGGTGACGCTGTCTCTCAGTGACCCTCGCCTGCAAAGTCGAGGGTTGGCTTTTGGGCAGTGCCTGCTCCTTCCGGGCCTCGGTCGACTCCCTTAGGCGCTCACAGCCGCAGCCACACCCAGGAAGTCTGGTTCTGCCCATGGACAAGGAAGGCCCACCCTGCAGGCCTCCCCACAGCCCCTGGCAGGACTCTGGGGAGTAGGGTCGGTGGTGCCCGCCCTGCCCACATCAGGTACCAGCCCAGCCCCAGAGGCTCGCCCCACCCCCACCCAGGTCTGAGGCTGGGCGGGGGCTGGTGTCCAGTGCCCAGGACTCTCCCTGCCGGAGAGGTCAGCCCTGGCCAGGCCCTGAGGAGCGGGCTTCAGTCCAGGGTCCTACGTGGAGTTCTTTACAGAGGCCTTAACTCTTCAGGGAAGCTGCCCTCCCCACACCTGTGGCCTCAGGGTAGCACTGCCCCCCACGCCCCCCATCAGCTTGGGCATTTCCATGTAGAGGCCGCCTTGCTGGGGCCCCTTGGCCAAGGCTCCTCTCAGGTTCCTCAGCCAGACCCCTCACCAGAAGCCTCGAAGACACTCCTGTGCCCCGACTCAGTGCCTGTGCTGGCCCTCTGTCCCCGGTTCCAAGTCCATGAAGCCGGAGCCTTCCGTACGGCCCCTCGGTGGGACAGCCCCGGGCCTGTGCTGACCAGACCCGCCTGCCAGTGCCTTTTGGGGAGGGGACAGTGGTGCAGGCCTGTAGTACCCGCCCCCCGGCCTCTTGCTGTGCTGTTACTATAATGAATAAAAGTGTGATTGTTCCTTGCTGCTCGGCTCCTCGTTACGGGCCAGCAGAGCTCCTGGCCGGCGTCCAGCTGTGGCCCCCAGAGGCGCCCGCCCTGCCCACCCAGCCTCGGCAGCTCCCATGGTCTTCTGAGCGAGCGGAGGCACAGTGAGGGGCTGCTGCAGGAAGTGACGAGCCTGGTGCACGGAGGCAGCTTTCCTGCGTGTTGCGCCTCTTCTCCCAACACCTTGCAGAGTAGTGTGTGCACGCACATGCAGAGGCGTGCCCGTGTGTGCGTGGCTGTGCATGTGGATGTTTGTGTGCAGGGCCGTGTACATAAGTGGGTGGGTGGGTGTGTGGAGTGCAGACGGACAATACCCAGAGCAGGCCGGTGGGCACGTGGCTGCCCTCTGTCTGATCTGTGGGTGCACAGTCAGGGGGGCACCCCCCAAGGACACTTGGGGTTAAGCAAGTCTGGGTGCTCAGGGCCTGGGGCGGTGGGAGCGGAAGGGCCCCTGACGTGGTGCCCGTCGGGCTCTGGGCTGGAAGTGGAGCTGTACAAGGAGCGGGCGGACCTGGCACAGCCCAAAGCCTCCCTGCGGCGGCTGTGGTCGCAGAAACGCTGAGCAGCAACAGCAGAGCCCCCGAGAGAGGGGGGGGGGTACTGGTGGCACCAGGCTGCACGGGGCGGCGTTGGCCACCGGCTCCCATGGCCCACGTCGCCTCCAGTGGCCCTGCCGTGTACCTGTGCTCCGTCCACAGCCACTGGGGCTCCGTGTCCTGTCCCCGTAGTGTCCGGAAGGACTCCCCTCCTTCCTAGGCCTTGCCCGAGGCAGGCGTCCTAGGTGGGAGGGGCCTGGAGGGTCTTGTGTCCACACAGAAAGCACATCCAGGTTCTTACTCAAAACCTGGCTCTTCTCAGCCTCTTCTTCAAGGACTGAGTCTTGTTTTATAACAATACCTTTCTTTTTAAAAAATTATTTACTTGCTTTTTAAAGAGAGGGAAAGAGGAGAAAGAGGGAGAGAAACATCAACGTGTGGTTGCCTCTTGCACGCCCCATAGTGAGCGCGCAACTTGGCTCACAACCCAGGCAAGTGCTCTGACTGGGAATCAAACCCACGACCCTTTGGTTCTCAGTCCAGCGCTCAGTCCAGTGAGCCACACCAGCCAGGGCTCCAAGGACTGAGTTCCTGGAAGGCTGCTGGGAAGAGAGCTGTCCTCCTTTGTCGCTCTGTCTACTGTCTCGACCTGGCCAGCACCGCAGGCGGACCCCTAGGTACGAAGCGGTCCCCCTTGGACACAGACAGGTCTCCAAGGCTGGGTTTCACCAAGGGTTGTGAGCCAAGTCTAATCCATTTACTTCCTTTTTTGGTCTAAGTTCATGTACGTTGCCTCAAGCCATGAGGCTTTTTCTCTCAAGTGCCCGGCCACACAGCCGCCACTTGGCAGCGTTGGATTGGGACCAGTAACTTCCCACCTCGATTCAAAGAGCTGCTCCTGCAAGAGCCAGGTCTCGCCTTGCAGGTCTAGAGAGAGGCCTAAGCCCAGGGCACGCCGGTCCAGTGAGGCATGGCCATGGCTGCGTGGACAGGCGGGGAGAGAGCCAAGGGCGGCCAAGCCCGGGGGGCAGGGTGCTACGGGAGAGGCCAGCGGAGTCTGCTGGACCCTGGCACAGCCTTCACACCTGTGGCAGGCACAGGGTACCTGGGGGTTTTGCAGCTTGTTCCTGGGAGTTGTCTGTGCTCAGGAGCCACCTCCCACGTCCCCAGACCCAGAAGGTGTGGCAGCCCTGGAGACCTGAACCCCAGCCAGGCCACCCCGACCGCGGGCCTCTCAGCATTCACGCAGCACGGACCAGGAGGGCGTCAGATTGCACCAAACTGCCACCTCCGCAGCTCAGACCCCTCCGTCACTGGGTCCAGAGGACCAGTTGCCCCAGAACCACCTGGCATCTCCAAGAGGGAGCAGGGCCAGGTACTATCCTGAGGCCACAGGGTCTGCCGAGGCAGCTGGTTGACAGTTTTCACAGAAAGCAAAGCTCGGGCCCCGTGTAGCAGTCGTGGCCTGTGCTCAAGTGGCCACCAGCAGGCCATTGCCCTTGTTCCGGGGGGCGTGCACCGCTCACCCACTCACCTGCAGACACGCACCAGGAGCATTCTCTTTGCCAGGTGTGGGGGACTGAGGATGGGCAGAGCACCCCTCCCTGCCTCCCGGGTTCAGGCTGTCTCCAGGCAGCACGAACATGGCTGACAGAGCAGATGGGGGGGTGTGAGAGCCACACTAGGGGTACAGGCTCCCAGAGAGGTGACCCCCAGAGGCGCTGGGCCCAGAAGCCAAGCAGGTGGAGGGAGCCCGCTGCCAGGAGGGAGAGAGCAGGGCCCCAGTTGCTGGCTGGGAGGCCTGAGCAGGAAACAAAGTGGCCAGAGTTTGGCGGTGTGCGGGGTGGGGGGGGTTGGCAGGGGTGGAGGGGGCGGTGGGCGTGGCCCCCGGCCCCCGAGAGACTGTGCAACCTGACAGCCAGGCGGGGCCTCGAGCGTCTCCCCCTGCGGCCTGGAGCAGGGCCTCCTTGGGGAGCACCCCAGGGAGAGCCCTCCCCACAGAGCCCACTAATCCCTGGTCTGGTTTCAGGAAGGGCTGCTTAAGACCTCTCCTCTCGTGGGAAACAGGAAAAGCAAATGAAAGCCTCTCCTCCCCGGGGGGCCTCTCTGGGGGCGGGGTTGGGGGGGGGACCTGAGCTTGCAGAGCCTTTGCCCAGAGCAGCCCTCTGACCTCCCCGGCCACACACACACTCACGGGCACACAGTGGGGTGGGGGGCTGAGCACTCCCGCGGCCCCCCGGCCCCCTCACCCCAGCACGGTCCTTGCCTGGCATCCCCTTCTCTCTCCCGTGTGTGCACCCAGCTGCTTCTCCCCAGGGCAGGCCCCCCAGGCTGAGTTAGGGGCCTGGAAGTGACCGCTGGGACTGGCCAGTCCAGAGGAGTCCGCCAAAGGCACTGGCCTGCCCTCCTCATGAGGAGGAGGGGGCGGTGGGAGCAGACAGAGCACATGAAGCTGGTCAGGGGTCAGGGTTCCGGGTGATTTTTGGTGATTTTTTTATAATTAAAAAAAGTTCATTTATCTTTAGAGGGGAAGGGAGGGAGAGAAGGAGAAAAATATTGATGTATGGTTGCCTCTCATGCGTCCCCTGCTGGGAACTGGCCTACAACCCAAGCATGTGCCCTGACTGGGAATCAAACCTGTGACCCTTTGGTTCACAGGCCAGCATTTAATCCACTGAGCCACACCAGCCAGGGCTGGTTTGTTTTTTAAGAAGAGAAAATAGCTATTTATTTCTGGTGCTCAAGGGGCAGGGGCCCCTGGCTCCCACCCCACCACCCCAGAGAAAGCAGCCCCCGGCTGCAGCTGCGATGTTGACCAGGTGTCTGCGGGGGGCAGGCCCCACTCAGTGAATAAACCACATGGCACTTCCAAGGACGCCTCATCTGAAACGCAGCCGGTCCTCTTGTGTCCAGGTGCTTGGAAACTGACCCTGAGTGACTGGACGGATAACAAAGTTACTTTTACCCAGACTGCGCTACGTGAATAAGAGTTACATTCCACCAGCACACTTCCGCCCAGAGTTACATTCCACCAGCACACTTCCGGCCACAAAAACACTGCCAAACTTCTGAGCAGAGACCAAAACACTTCTGTCGACCTGAAAATATAAGGTGAAGTGAGAGGCCCCGAAATGTTGACAATGTTGACATGTGCTCGAGAGCAAAGAGTCCCTGCTGGGGACGCACTGACTGGGCAGAAGCCCAGTGGGTGTCCCTCGGAGGAGGTGGAGGGAGGGTGTCGTCGGTGAGCAGGCCGGAGAGCTCCACCTGCAGCGGGAGGCTTGCTCGGCAGGTGCGGGCAACTTAGCTAGGCCCTGCTGATTCTAGACAGTGTTTCTGGTTCTCAACCATGCCATCTCCTGCTTTTTTGTTACCTTTGCAAACAGTTGTTTGTGGTACAATACTGATTTAGGTGCAGACCAAAGGTTGCTTTGCCCTGTTCTCACTAACATGCCGGGAAGGTTGGCGGCCTCCCCTAAGCACATGTTGGGAAGGCAGCTGCTCCCGGAGGTGGCTCCGGGCTCCGGCTCCATTCTGAAGTGGTTCTGTTTGTATTTCTATGCTTCTGATGTTAAACCTTGAGCTCAGTGTGAGCTATACCTACATTTAAGGAAGATGAATAGTCCTGGCTGGTGTGGTTCAGGGGATTCAGTGCTGACCTGTGAACCAGAGGGTCACTGGTTCAATTTCCAGTTGGGGCACACACCTGGGTTGTGGGCCAGGTCCCCAGTAGGGGGCATGTGTGAGAGGCAACCACACACTGATGTTTCTACACCTCTCTTTCTCTCTTCCCCTTCCTCTTAAAGTAAATAAAACACTTCTTTTTAAAAGGAGAAAGATGATCTGGCTGGTGTAGCTTAGTGGATTGAGCTAAGGGTTGCCGGTTCCACTTCGCCCTCAGGTTCCCTTTAAAAAAAAAATTCTCTCTTTGAAAAAATAAATAAATAAATAAATAAAAGTAAGAAGAGATTAATAAAAATAAGGCAGCAAAGTCTTTTATTTTTTAAGATTTTATTTTATTTTGTTTAGACAGAGCAGAAGGGAGGTGGAAAGAGAAGGAAACGCCGATGTGTGGTTGCCTCCCACACGCCCCCACTGGGGACCTGCCTCACTACCCAGGCATGTGCCCTGACTGGGAATCGAACCAACAACTCTTTGGTGGTAGCCGGGTGCTCAACCCACTAAGTTACATCAGCCAAGGTAGAAGACAGCTCTTTTCTGACCCTCTTATTCTAGGTCAGGGTCTCTGGTGGCCAGAGCCTACCCCTCAGCTCAGGGTGAAACACAGGACCCATGGTGGGCAGGACGCCCTCGTACCCAAGGGTCATTCACAGACCCCACCCTCACTCTGCCAGCGACAGTCTGAACCCACCAGTGCCCTCACTCCTGGAGAAAACCCGCACGGGCAGTGATCCCTGCCAGGAATGGATTTTTTTCTCATTAACTTATCTCATTAACTTACAATGAAATGGCCTTGAACAAAAGGCCTGCTGAATTACTGGCTCTTTAAATCTTTGTTTTCCAGATATGAGGAGGGCTTTCGTCGTCTTAAGTTACCTTGACCCACGGCGGTTCGGTAAATCTCACCTTTGCAAGCTGATGGAATCACTCTTTTTCTCCCTACCTGATCCCACCTGGGCCTCCACGGGCCAGGAGATCTCAGAGTGAGCCCCTCCCTGGGGGCCCTGCTGGGGGGTCCAGCCCGAGTCCCACCCTGAGTGAGGGACGGTGACAGAGGCCACACCCGGAGGGCCGGCTGCAGGCGTCACAGGCCCTGCCGGGACCCTTGCACCTGCAGACAGAGGCGTCCGTGCTGGGAATCTGTAACCCAAGGCTGGGAGGTGCTCGCACGCACCCTCAGGCCCATTTCCCGCAGTGAAACTGGCATCAGAACCCACAGCTGTCAGTGGCACCGAGTGGCAGCACGCGTTGAGTCCTTCGCCCCCACCAGAAGGGTCCACGGACTGACGCCGCGGTGTGGTTCCGGTGTGGGGCGGGAGGGGGCCAAGCGGGCACCCCTGTCCCTGCAGCCTCACCTCAGGGAGGCGGAGCCTGTGGGCACGGAGGCAGGGCTCCCAGACCCGCCAGGGGCAGGTGAAGAAGACTCTGGAGGCCACAGTGGTTCCCAGATTGGGGTTGTGGTAAGGTCAGGTGGGTGGGAGCAGGGGGCCAGCCATCCTTAAGGACAGAGTGCCTTAGCCATCACCCAGGGCCACCCAGCCCAGCATCTGCAGGGGCCAACTCCAGGCCGCCTGCCCCCAGCTAGCCAGAAAGAAGCACATATCCCTCCCCAGAATTTATTTTAATTTATTTCCCAAAACCCAGGGTGGAGCTTCTGGCTGGCACCTCTTGGGCTGTTGGTGAGGAAGGGAGCCCCCTCCAGGGCAGCAGAGTCCTGTGAACAGGGAAGCAAAAGCTGCCCAAGGCCCAGCCACGCCCAAGGCCCAGCCTCCCTCCCTCAAACCACATCTCCCTCCCTATAAAACCTGCCCTCCTGCTGGACAGAGGCTGGGGTCAGCACCATGCAGCTCAATTTCAGCAACCTTAGGGCCCTGGTGACAGGAGCAGGGCAAGGTGAGTGTTACTGAGCAGGCAGGGGTGCGGGAGGAGCTGCGCTGGAGAGAAAGGTGGCTGGGCCCGAAGCCTCACAGGCCGGTGCTGAACGGGACACAAGACGCAGGGTGGGTAGGTGCAGGGTCCAGCCAAGGTGTCTTCCCCAGACCGGCAGGAAGAAGCTGCCCTTGGGACCTCCCTTGGCCGGATCCTGCTGGCTGAGTCTGTGGCTTGGGCCCCCACACTTCCCGGGCTGGTGCCCTCTGGCCGGTACCCTCTGGCTGCTCTTCCCTGAGCAGCAAAGAGGCAGCCCTTGCCCTGCGCTAATCCAGACACCCGTGCACCACTGCCTGCCTGGCGCTCTCCTGCAGGGATTGGACGCCACACTGCCAAGGCCCTGCACGCTTCAGGGGCCAGGGTGGTGGCCCTGAGCCGCACCGGTGCCAACCTGGTCAGCCTCTCTGAGGAGGTGAGGCGCTCAGATTGCCCCCCCAGCCCCTGCACCCTCAGTAATGCCTCCTGGGCCTGCTGGGACCACCTGGTCACTGTCTGATGCTTCCCACAGTGTCCTGGGATAGAGACTGTGTGTGTGGACCTGGGTGACTGGGAGGCCACGGAGCAGGCGCTGGGCGGCGTGGGCCCCGTGGACCTGCTGGTGAACAATGCCGCTGTGGCGTTGCCACAGCCCTTCCTGGAGGTCACCAAGGAGGCCTTCGACAGGTGGGAAGCCGGAGAGCAGGGGCTGGCAGAGGGCTGCACGGAGGCGGGCCGGCGTGACCATGGCCCGCCTGACCTGCCCACTCTCCCCCAGGTCTTTCAGCGTGAACCTGCGGTCTGTGTTCCAGGTGTCCCGGGTGAGCGGGTGGGAGGGTGTGCCCCCACGGCTGTCTTGGCCCAGGTAGAGGGGAGTTTGGGTCAAGCTGCCACCCCTCTTGGCTTCCAGATGGTGGCCCTTGGCATGATCGATCGCAGAGTGCCTGGCTCCATTGTCAATATCTCCAGCATAACAGCCTACGTCACCTTTCCCAACGTGGCTGTCTACAGTACGTTGTCCCTCTGCCCAGCCAGTACCCCTAACCGCACTGTGCTCCGGGGCTGGGCCTTCCTGCAAAGAAGGCTGAATCCCTGAAGGGTGCTCGCGCTCCCCACAGGCTCCACCAAGGGTGCGATGACCATGCTGACCAAAACTATGGCCTTGGAGCTGGGGCCACACAAGGTGAAGGTGGGGTGCTGGGTGAGCAGGGCTGAGCCTGTGTGGGCAAGGCTGGGGGATGAGAAGGGTAGGGGAGCAGTGGGTGTGAGAGAAGCGTGGGGACCACTCAAGTCTCTAGGTTGCTGGAACACAGTAAGCCAGCTCAGCCTGGTGGGGGACTGTGTGGGCCAGGCTGGTCTACTGGCTGAGGCTGCAGCCTCCTGCCCCTCGCTCCCTGGCTCCCAGATCCGGGTGAACTCCGTGAACCCTACCGTTGTGCTGACAACGGCCATGAGCAAACAATGCTTGAGCAACCCCGAGTTCCTCCGGAAGATTAAGGAGCGGCACCCGATGAAGAGGTTTGCAGGTCTGCAGGGCTGCGAGGAGGGGCGGGCCTGGCTAGGGCGGCAAAGAGAGCGCGCTGACCCGCCCACCGCCCGCTGCAGAGATGGAGGACGTGGTCAACAGCATCCTGTTCCTGCTCAGCGACCGCAGCGCCTCCACCAGCGGCTCCAGCCTGCTAGTGGACGCCGGGTACCTGACTTCTTAGAGCAGCCTGGTAGTGCGGACTGCCCCGCGGTCCTCCGCTCCTCCCCGCCCGGCCTCCCCCCGTGGCCCCGCCCCCGCCCACGAGGCCACGCCCCTGGCCACATTTTTTATCAGCAGCTGCGTCTCCTCGGCCCCGCCTCCCAACCTCTACTCCACCGCCCCGCTTCTGGCCATGCTCCTCCGCCTGCCCTACCTGGCTGCCCCGACACTCCTCCCTTGTTGCCCTCCACCACAGACTGTGACCTCGGCTGTACTGGGGTCGACTCGCCTAAATAAATAAACGGAGGCCATGTTCCCGGAACCAGGGGTGCCAGGGCTCTGGAGGGGCACACCCCGAGGCTGGCAGGACCTAGGGTCAGGGACTGTGGGGCTCACATTTCACCTTCCGTGAAGTCAGGAAGCAGGAGTTTCCTCCTGTCCACGCCCCACCCGAAACACCCAACCTGCCCTGGGTGGAGGGCCGAGGGCGGAGAACAGCCTGCCCTGCCTTCTCTTCCCTGAGGCTCTGCCCTTGGGCCCCTAGCCTGTGCTCCGACTGCCAAAAGGTCGGACTGGGCAGAGAGTCTTTGGAGCTGGAGCGGACGCCGAGACACTAGGCCATCCCCAGGGAAGGCGGGGCCAGAGTGAGGGGCTGGGTGCTGGGTCTAGTTTATCCAACCCCAGGGAACGCAGCTTCACCTCCGGCCCAATCCCCCTACAAGGCCGTCCACGAGAGGGCGCCCAAGGGGGGTGGGTGTGGCCTACGGCTGCTGCTCTTCCTACTGTCAGCTGAAACCCAGGCACAGCAGAGAGGGTCTTAAAGCCCCGCAGGGTTTCAGTGGGGCTGGCCTGCGTCAGGTCCTCCCATGGCCTGTGCCACCTAGCAGGCCGAGTGTGGACGTAAGGAGGCCTGAGACGGCCAGTCAGCTGGACTAGTACAGTGTCCCTTCACCCCCGGCAAAAGAGCAGGGCAGGAGGGGCTGGTGTGGTTACTTCCAGGCAACGTGCAGAGTGGGGGTGGGGAGTGTGAGGGCGCTTTTGGTTCTGTGCCCCGCCCCAGGACCTCTCATAGCGGGGTTTGCACCAGAGCTGGCTTGTGGTAGCCCATCTAGCCCACCAAGGGTCACAGGACAAGAGAAAGGATGTAGACACCATTCTGGGACAAGGTAGAGCCCCTGAAGAGACCTATGCAGAAGCACCTTTCTGGAAAGACAAGCTGGGGGCTGTCCCTCCCTGGCCTCTGGCACGTAGAGGTCAAGATTCAAGGCAGGGAGCAGGTTTTGTCTGGTGCCCGGAGGTGAGGGGTCCGCCACAGGGCCAGGCCTGCCAGGGAGACGTTCTTTGCTGACCTTCAGGGGTTTTCTGTAATCCCCTGGCCGCCTCCTCCAGCCTGTCCTCCAGCCTGTCCATGTATCTCGGCCCAAAGCCCCAGGGGACCCAGGAGGCCTGCAACCACCAGTATCCTACAACTGGCCACAGAAGGTCCTCAGGGTTACGGTTTTAGGTTTCCCCACGTGACCCACAGAACAGCAACGCTCATGCGGGAAGCCAGTGTTCATGCCTACATCTGTAGGTGACCCGAAAGCCTCAGGAAGCAGTGCTTGCCTGGCTGGCCACTGTGTACCCCGGTGACCCCAATTCTCTTCCTTCCTATCTTATACATGTTTTGTGTTTTTCTTTTTAAGATTTTATTTATTTATCTTTAGAGGGGTAGCGAAGGAGAAAGGGAGAGAAATATCCATGTACGGTTGCCTCTCATATGTTCCCCGCTGGGAACTGGCCTGCAACCCAGGCGTGTGCCCTGACTGGGAATCGAACCTCTATTGTGTGGTTCACAGGCCCGCGCTCAATCCATTGAGCTACACCAGCCGGGGCTTATACACGGTTTTAAAAGTGCTGGTGGCTCTGGCTGGTGTGACTCAGCAGATTCAGAGCTGGCCCGTGAACCAAAGGGTTGCAGGTTCAGTGCCCAGTCAGGGCACATGCCTGGGTTGTGGGCCAGGTCCCTAGCAGGGGGCATGAAAGAGGCAATAGCATATTGATATTTCCCTCTCTTCCTCTCTCTCTAAAAGTAAATAAATAAAATGCTTATAAATAAAAAAGTGCTGGTGGCCTTCCGTGGGTTGGCCGGGGTGATCTGGGATTTCAGGTCCCTTTGAGGCTAAAGTGAACCTTTGTCGGCACTGACCCCGAGTGAGCCACTCCGAGGTCTGGGGCAGGAAGACGGACAAGCGATCCCTTACGCCAAACTTTTCTTCTCAGAAGCAAAAGAAGAAATATTAGCCCTGAGTTCTCCGTGGTATTAACCTCCGCCTGGGTTTTAGTCCCGCAGTAATCCTCTCCGCAGGGAAAACACGCTAAATCGATTTCTCACCTGGTGGGTCGCCACTGAGAAACCCCGCCCCAGGGCGGGCAGGACCCTGACCTCCCCGCCCACGCCGCGCCCACTCCTTTTGGCCAATTGCCCCGCAGGAGGCTGCTGTTAGCCTGGCTCCGCCCCCAGACCGGCCCCGCCCCCGCCTCGCGCACACCCGCCCGGCGGTCTCGGGCCCCACGGGCAGTGGGGCGACCCGAGCACAGCGTCAGGCCGCGCCGCCATGGAGCTGGGGCTCTCTGGCCGCCGGGCGCTCGTCACGGGGGCAGGCAAAGGTGCGCCGGCTCCGGAGGGCGGCCGGCGGCGGGGGGGGTGGCTGGCGGGTGGAGAGGGGCGTCCGCACTGAGCCGCGTTCCCCGCAGGCATAGGGCGCAGCACGGTGCAGGCGCTGCACGCGGCGGGTGTGGAGGTCGTGGCGGTGAGCCGGACCCAGGATGATCTGGACAGCCTGGTCCGCGAGGTATAGACACCGCGGAGTCGAAGCCCAGGGGGCAACGGGGCGGGGGGCAGCGGGGGCATGCAGGACGCCCAGCTGCCAGGCCCGGACCGTCGAGGACCCGCAACAACCCTCCCAGGGCGCGCGGACTCCGTGGGCTCCCGGTTGGCCAAGAGACTGGCGATGCCCCCTGGGCTGAGAAGGGAGCATAAATGGCTGCCTCGCAGGCCCGGGGCCAGAGGGCGGGCGGAGGGGGTGCGGGGAGGAAGTGTCCTGTCTGAGGCTCCTGGTTCAGAAGCCCGGAGTCGCTCAGGGACCCAGGGGCCACGTGAATTCCCCCTTCCTCAGACGTCTTGGATTCTGAGCCCCAGGCAGTGGCTGGCTTCTCTGGGACTCCTGGCCCCGCTCCGTGTTGGTCGGATAGGTCTCGCACATCCCACCCCCTTCCTTGTGGGCCCGGAGCCCTGATGGCTGTGCCCCGCCCACCATGTACATGCAGTGCCCCCGGGTGAAGCCTGTGTGTGTGGACCTGGGTGACTGGGAAGCCACGGAGCAGACGCTGGGCGGCGTGGGCCCCGTGGACCTGCTGGTGAACAATGCCGCTGTGGCGTTGCCGCAGCCCTTCCTGGAGGTCACCAAGGAGGCCTTCGACAGGTGGGAAGCCGGAGAGCAGGGGCTGGCAGAGGGCTGCTGCGGAGGCGGGCCGGCGTGACCATGGCCCGCCTGACCTGCCCACTCTCCCCCAGGTCCTTCAGCGTGAACCTGCGGTCTGTGTTCCAGGTGTCCCGGGTGAGCTGGTGGGAGGGTGTGCCCCCACGGCTGTCTTGGCCCAGGTAGAGGGGAGTTTGGGTCAAGCTGCCACCCCTCTTGGCTTCCAGATGGTGGCCCTAGGCATGATCGAACGCAGAGTGCCTGGCTCCATTGTCAATATCTCCAGCATAACAGCCTACGTCACCTTTCCCAACGTGGCCGTCTACAGTGCGTTGTCCCTCTGCCCAGCCAGTACCCCTAACCGCACTGTGCTCCGGGGCTGGGCCTTCCTGCAAAGAAGGCTGAATCCCTGAAGGGTGCTCGCGCTCCCCACAGGCTCCACCAAGGGTGCGATGACCATGCTGACCAAAACTATGGCCTTGGAGCTGGGGCCACACAAGGTGAAGATGGGGTGCTGGGTGAGCAGGGCTGAGCCTGTGTGGGCAAGGCTGGGGGATGAGAAGGGTAGGGGAGCAGTGGGTGTGAGAGAAGCGTGGGGACCACTCAAGTCTCTAGGTTGCTGGAACACAGTAAGCCAGCTCAGCCTGGTGGGGGACTGTGTGGGCCAGGCTGGTCTACTGGCTGAGGCTGCAGCCTCCTGCCCCTCGCTCCCTGGCTCCCAGATCCGGGTGAACTCCGTGAACCCTACGTTTGTGCTGTCGACGGCCATGAGCAAACCAAGCTTGAGCAACCCCGAGTTCCTCCGGAAGATTAAGGAGCGGCACCCGATGAAGAGGTTTGCAGGTCTGCAGGGCTGCGAGGAGGGGCGGGCCTGGCTAGGGCGGCAAAGAGAGCGCGCTGACCCGCCCACCGCCCGCTGCAGAGATGGAGGACGTGGTCAACAGCATCCTGTTCCTGCTCAGCGACCGCAGCGCCTCCACCAGCGGCTCCAGCCTGCTAGTGGACGCCGGGTACCTGACTTCTTAGAGCAGCCTGGTAGTGCGGACTTCCCCGCGGTCCTCCGCGCCTCCGGGCCCCGCCTCCCCGCCGTGGCCCCGCCCCCGCCCACGAGGCCACGCCCCTGGCCACATTTATTATCAGCAGCTGCGCCTCCTCGGCCCCGCCTCCCAACCTCTACTCCACCGCCCCGCATCTGGCCCTGCTCCTCCGCCTGCCCTACCTCGCTGCCCCGACACTCCTCCCCTGCCCTACCTGGCTGCCCCGACACTCCTCCCTTGTTGCCCTCCACCACAGACTGTGACCTCGGCTGTACTGGGGTCGACTCGCCTAAATAAATAAACGGAGGCCATGTTCACGGAACCAGGGGTGCCAGGGCTCTGGAGGGGCACACCCCGAGGCTGGCAGGACCTAGGGTCAGGGACTGTGGGGCTCACATTTCACCTTCCATGAAGTCAGGAGGCAGGAGATTCCTCCTGTCCACGCCCCACCCGAAACACCCAACCTGCCCTGGGCGGAGGGCCGAGGGCGGAGAACAGCCTGCCCTGCCTTCTCTTCCCTGAGGCTCTCTCTGCCCCTGGGCCCCTAGCCTGTGCTCCGACTGCCAAAAGGTCGGACTGGGCAGAGAGTCTTTGGAGCTGGAGCGGACGCCGAGACACTAGGCCATCCCCAGGGAAGGCGGGGCCAGAGTGAGGGGCTGGGTGCTGGGTCTAGTTTATCCAACCCCAGGGAACGCAGCTTCACCTCCGGCCCAATCCCCCTACAAGGCCGTCCACGAGAGGGCGCCCAAGGGGGGTGGGTGTGGCCTACGGCTGCTGCTCTTCCTACTGTCAGCTGAAACCCAGGCACAGCAGAGAGGGTCTTAAAGCCCCGCAGGGTTTCAGTGGGGCTGGCCTGCGTCAGGTCCTCGCATGGCCTGTGCCACCTAGCCGGCCGAGTGTGGACGTAAGGAGGCCTGAGACGGCCAGTCAGCTGGACTAGTACAGTGTCCCTTCACCCCCGGCAAAAGAGCAGGGCAGGAGGGGCTGGTGTGGTGACTTCCAGGCAACGTGCAGAGTGGAGGTGGGGAGTGTGAGGGCGCTTTTGGTTCTGTGCCCCGCCCCAGGACCTCTCATAGCGGGGTTTGCACCAGAGCTGGCTTGTGGTAGCCCATCTAGCCCACCAAGGGTCACAGGACAAGAGAAAGGATGTAGACACCATTCTGGGACAAGGTAGAGCCCCTGAAGAGACCTATGCAGAAGCACCTTTCTGGAAAGACAAGCTGGGGGCTGTTCCTCCCTGGCCTCTGGCACGTAGAGGTCAAGATTCAAGGCAGGGAGCAGGTTTTGTCTGGTGCCCGGAGGTGAGGGGTCCGCCACAGGGCCAGGCCTGCCAGGGAGACGTTCTTTGCTGACCTTCAGGGGTTTTCTGTAATCCCCTGGCCGCCTCCTCCAGCCTGTCCATGTATCTCGGCCCAAAGCCCCAGGGGACCCAGGAGGCCTGCAACCACCAGTATCCTACAACTGGCCACAGAAGGTCCTCAGGGTTACGGTTTTAGGTTTCCCCACGTGACCCACAGAACAGCAACGCTCATGCGGGAAGCCAGTGTTCATGCCTACATCTGTAGGTGACCCGAAAGCCTCAGGAAGCAGTGCTTGCCTGGCTGGCCACTGTGTACCCCGGTGACCCCAATTCTCTTCCTTCCTATCTTATACATGTTTTGTGTTTTTCTTTTTAAGATTTTATTTATTTATCTTTAGAGGGGTAGGGAAGGAGAGAGGGAGAGAAATATCCATGTACGGTTGCCTCTCATATGTTCCCCGCTGGGAACTGGCCTGCAACCCAGGCGTGTGCCCTGACTGGGAATCGAACCTCTATTGTGTGGTTCACAGGCCCGCGCTCAATCCATTGAGCTACACCAGCCGGGGCTTATACACGGTTTTAAAAGTGCTGGTGGCTCTGGCTGGTGTGACTCAGCAGATTCAGAGCTGGCCCGTGAACCAAAGGGTTGCAGGTTCAGTGCCCAGTCAGGGCACATGCCTGGGTTGTGGGCCAGGTCCCTAGCTGGGGGCATGAAAGAGGCAACAGCATATTGATATTTCCCTCTCTTCCTCTCTCTCTAAAAGTAAATAAATAAAATGCTTATAAATAAAAAAGTGCTGGTGGCCTTCCGTGGGTTGGCCGGGGTGATCTGGGATTTCAGGTCCCTTTGAGGCTAAAGTGAACCTTTGTCGGCACTGACCCCGAGTGAGCCACTCCGAGGTCTGGGGCAGGAAGACGGACAAGCGATCCCTTACGCCAAACTTTTCTTCTCAGAAGCAAAAGAAGAAATATTAGCCCTGAGTTCTCCGTGGTATTAACCTCCGCCTCGGTTTTAGTCACGCAGTAATCCTCTCCGCAGGGAAAACACGCTAAATCGATTTCTCACCTGGTGGGTCGCCACTGAGAAACCCCGCCCCAGGGCGGGCAGGACCCTGACCTCCCCGCCCACGCCGCGCCCACTCCTTTTGGCCAATTGCCCCGCAGGAGGCTGCTGTTAGCCTGGCTCCGCCCCCAGACCGGCCCCGCCCCCGCCTCGCGCACACCCGCCCGGCGGTCTCGGGCCCCACGGGCAGTGGGGCGACCCGAGCACAGCGTCAGGCCGCGCCGCCATGGAGCTGGGGCTCTCTGGCCGCCGGGCGCTCGTCACCGGGGCAGGCAAAGGTGGGCCGGCTCCGGAGGGCGGCCGGCGGCGGGGGCGCGGGTAGGTGGCGGGGGGGGGGGGGGGGCGTCCGCACTGAGCCGCGTTTTCCGCAGGCATAGGGCGCAGCACGGTGCAGGCGCTGCACGCGGCGGGTCTGGAGGTCGTGGCGGTGAGCCGGACCCAGGATGATCTGGACAGCCTGGTCCGCGAGGTATAGACACCGCGGAGTCGAAGCCCCCCTGGGCTGAGAAGGGAGCATAAATGGCTGCCTCGCAGGCCCGGGGCCAGAGGGCGGGCGGAGGGGGTGCGGGGAGGAAGTGTCCTGTCTGAGGCTCCTGGTTCAGAAGCCCGGAGTCGCTCAGGGACCCAGGGGCCACGTGAATTCCCCCTTCCTCAGACGTCTTGGATTCTGAGCCCCAGGAAGTGGCTGGCTTCTCTGGGACTCCTGGCCCCGCCCCGTGTTGGTCGGATAGGTCTCGCACATCCCACCCCCTTCCTTGTGGGCCCGGAGCCCTGATGGCTGTGCCCTGCCCACCATGTACATGCAGTGCCCCGGGGTGAAGCCTGTGTGTGTGGACCTGGGTGACTGGGAGGCCACGGAGCAGGCGCTGGGCGGCGTGGGCCCCGTGGACCTGCTGGTGAACAATGCCGCTGTGGCGGTGCTGCAGCCCTTTCTGGAGGTCACCAAGGAGGCGTGTGACATGTGAGCCCGTAGGGGTGGAGGAGCCCAGGAGGGAGGGTGGCCCCCTGCAGCAGTGGCCCCATCCCTGACCAGGCTGGTGCATTGCCTGCAGGTCCTTCGACGTGAACCTGAGGGCTGTTATCCAGGTGTCCCAGGTGAGCAACCTTCTGGGCAGGAGTGGGGACAGAGTGGTGACACCAGTGCTGCCGCATGTTCCTTCTGCCATTGCAGATTGTGGCTAGGGGTCTGATTGCTCGGGGAGCCCCGGGGTCCATCGTGAACGTGTCCAGCCAGGCCTCCCAGCGCGCAATCCGCAACCACACGGTCTACTGTGAGTGAGCCCGCGCGCCCTGGCCCCGCCCCTGGCCCCGTCCCGTGTGGCCTGCAGCGGCCCAGGCTCCGCTCACCTGGCCCCTCTTCACAGGTGCCTCCAAGGGCGCCATGGACATGCTGACCAAAGTGATGGCTCTGGAGCTGGGACCACACAAGGTGAGCCCCACTGAGCCGCCTCCCAGCAGGCAGCCCACATGCCCGGGGCCCCCCAGCCCACCTTGCTGACCCCACCTCATCCCTGCACAGATCCGTGTGAATGCAGTGAACCCCACCGTGGTGATGACAGCCATGGGCAAGGCCAACTGGAGCGATCCCCAGAAGTCCAAGAGCATGCTGGACCGCATCCCGCTGGGCAGGTTTGCTGGTGAGTTGGCCCGTCACCCAGCTGGAGCTGAGCCAGGCTCTCAGCTGAGGGGTGGGCGGGAAAGATGGAGGGTGGCCTTTTCATCCGGGCCCTGACCCCCGCCCCGCCTGCAGAGGTGGAGAACGTGGTGGATGTCATCCTTTTCCTGCTGAGTGACCGGAGCAGCATGACCACGGGCTCCACGGTGCCAGTGGACGGGGGCTTCCTGGCCACCTGACTGACGCTCACATGCAGCCGTACCCCATGCTGAGCCCCGCCCCCCCGCCCCCCAGTCCCCTGTAATAAACACGATTCTGCTGCTCAGCCTTCAGGCTGACTGGTTCCTGGGCCGCTGGCCAGTGGCCCCAAGATACAGAGGTCAGGGCCGGGTGTGGAAGTGAGTCCCAGGAGCGGAGATGGCCCTTTGACAAGTGTCCCAGGCCAGGCAGCCTGACTTTCCTGCCTGCCATGTTCAGTCATGGCCAACTTTGCAGCAGAGGCTGGGAGATGGGACCTTCCAGCGGCCAAAGTTTCTATCATTACGATGATGGCCGCTTAACGACTGGGCAGCCACGCTGCCCAAGAGCCCCGCCGCTGGCTGTGCAGACCAGGGCTCCCTCTGGGAGTGGGGCCTTCAGATCACGAGTCTGCCTGGAGCTGTGCCCTATGGCCTGGGGGCAGAGTCCGAGTCCTGGACCGTGGCTCCTGACGTGCCCCGACTGACCCCTTGCCTCCCCCGCAGTTTCTGACCTGTGCAATGCTGTACCGCCCACGTGCCGCCCCTTCTGCCCTCCACGCTGCCCTGACCTCCACACTTTGCCTGCCCCGGTCCTTCTGCCCAAGCAGGGCTCCAGGGCTGGCTGTGGGGCCCCCCACCTGGGAGGGCGGGACAGGCATCACCTGTTCCTCTGTGCTTGCCCCTCCTGGAGGCCCGGCGTCTGGGCTTTGTCCGGAAGGGAGTAAGTACACTTACTGCCACCTCACTCTGGGCCGCTTTTGGGGACAGAGACAGCGCAGCAAGCTCTGCGCTCTCCCACCCAGGGGGAGGAGTAGGCTCAGCCCCTCGGTACCGTGGCTGGGGGGCAGGGGCAGGCAGGGGCAGGCACGCAAGGGAAGTTGGTGGAGAACGTTTACTGTATAAAATAAAAATGGGCCGCCCCTCCCGGGCCCAGGGACAAGACCCCCTCCCCTGTCAGGGAAGCCCATCCTGGGGCTGCCCTGCACCCACCCCTGCCTTCCGAGGGAGACCCTGCTCCCTCCTGGCCTCCCATGGGAGCCAGGGCAGGCTGCAGCCGTGCCCCCCAGAGGAGGCAGAGTGGCTAGGACCCCACTGCCCCCGCCCACCCCATGCTTCTTGCCCCCCCCCCCCACAGCACTCCCCACAGCAGACTGGGACACAGCTGGACGCAGACAGTGAGAACAGCAGACGCAGGTGGGGGCGGGGCTCTAGAAGACTGTGCACTTCTTCCCTGGCTTTTTCACGGGGGGCGGGCAGAGCACTGCCCGAATGGCCTCGTCAAACACTGTCTTCAGGCCCCGCTGGGTTAGGGCCGAGCACTCCAGGTACTTGACCGAACCTGGGGGAATGGGGGGGAGTTATGGGGGGGCAGCGAGGAAGGGGGTCAACGAGTGGGGCCGTCAGCACGGGCCTGGCCCAGTGCACTCACCGATCTCGCGGGCCATGGCCAGGCCCTGAGGGTATGTGATGGGCGCCAGTTTCTTGTCCCGCAGCCGCTCAATGGTGTCCTTGTCATCCCGGAGGTCCAGCTTGGTGCCCACCAGGAGGATGGGCGTGTGGGGGCAGTGGTGTCGCACCTCCGGGTACCACTGTGGGGATGGAGGCTCTAACCCCTACCCCTCAGCGGCTTCTCCACGAACCTGCCTGGGAGCAGGCAGGGCTCCCCAGGGCCCCTTTCTCATGGCCAGTAGATGCACCCCAGCCCTTCCTGCTCTGTGGGGGACCACCAGGTTTGGTGGGGGGCAAGAACACCAAGCAGGGGGGCTTCAGGGCCTGTCAGGGCCCCCCCAGCCAGGGTCCTTGCCTTCTGAGAGCCTTGCTCACCACCCCAGCCCCTTGTCACCCCCTGGCCCTGGCCCTGGCCCTGGCCCTGGCCCTGGCCCTGGCCCTGGCAGACTCTACACCAAGCAGAACAAGCATTTCCTCCGCCTCCAAAGTTTGCCTGGGTCAGGTCTTCAATCTAGAGACCCTGCCCCGTCAGGACAAGTCCCCTGGGCACCCCCTCACCCGCAGACAGATGCCCAGGCCTGCCCTACCTTGGCACGGACATTCTCAAAGGAGGCTGGGCTCACCAAGGAGAAGCAGATCAGGAAGACGTCCTGGGGAGGGAGGGACCGGGTGGACACATTCAAGGAGGCCTCCATGTCCCCACCAACCCCAGGCCTGTGGGGACCCCCGGGCTGGCCCAGGACCACCTACGGTCTGAGGGTAGGAGAGCGGCCGGAGCCGGTCGTAGTCCTCCTGCCCAGCGGTGTCCCACAGCCCCAGGTTGACCGGCTTCCCGTCCACCATCACGTTGGCCGAGTAGTTGTCGAAACTGCAGGGGCAGAGGGTAGGGGCAACCTGAGCCTCAGGGTCTCGGCCCATGCAGGGCAGGACTGCAATTCTGCCCCACTGCGGCCCCACCTGCATGCCCAGGAGCACTGCCCCCCCCCTCGGCCGGGCACCGGCCCACCCGACAGCCCTGCTCACACTGTGGGGATGTACTCTCCCGGGAAGGCATTGGTCGTGTAGCTGATCAGCAGGCAGGTCTTCCCCACGGCACTGTGGACGGAGTGCAAGCCCACATTGCTCCCAGGCCGCTTTGGCCACGCTGCCCAGTGAGGACGGCCCCCTTGCACAGAGCAGCAGGCCGAGTTGGGGCGCCATGGGTGGGGACTGGGGTTCCAGGGCAGCAGATCCGCAGCCACCTAGGTCTGGGGAAGGAGGACCAGGGCAAGGGGCCTCCAGGGGGTGCGGACTGGATAGGGCACAGTTCCCACCACCCGGGGGAGGGCGTCAGGGTGGGAGGGGCCAGCTAAGGATTCAGCCCAGGTGAGAGGCCCCACCCCCCATCCCCCGCCGCCAGGCCGGGCGGTGATCAAGCCAGGAGCCCGCAGCACCAGGTGGGCCTGGCTGGAGGCCTCACCCCTGCTAGCCCGGACCCCGCCCCACTGTGCTCTGCGCTCAGCCGCGCCCCCGGGCCACGCGCTCAGCCCAAGCCTGGCTGCCCCCGCCCCTCCCCACGGCTCGGCGCCGCACACTCACCCGTCGCCGACCACCACGCACTTGATGGCCTGCATGGGCGCGGGCCGGGCGGGCGCGGCCGCCAGCGAGCTGCGGAGAAATACTCGCGCCGCAGCGGCCGCGGACCCGAGCCGAGCGCTGAGCCGAGCGGCCGGAGACAGCCGAGTGCCGCCGAGCGCCGGGCACGGAGACAGCCGAGCGTGGCTGGCGGGGGGCGCGGGCTTTCCGGAGAAACCCGGTGAGGTCAGGCCCGGGTGCCCACCTCCTGAGCCCCGGGTCCCGCACCCCCCCCCCCGGCTAGGGGCAGGGACCGGCGCACAGTACTCCCCGATGCCCAGGGTAACCCCGGCCAAGGGGCAGCGCCGACGGGCGATCCCCACCCACCTGCACATGCGTCAGGGGTTCTGTGCACACGTGGCTGCTTCTAGGAGACCACTCCCAGGGCCCCGCCGCCCTCGGTCCAGGAGCCCGCTGCTGAGTTCCGAGGTTTGCGGTCCCCACGCCTGCTCCGGGCCAAAGAGGGCGGCCCAGCCCCACCCGTCCACCGGCCTCGCTTCGATGGTCCCCACCTGGCCTCAGGCCGTTTGAAGGTGCTACCCAGAGGCTCCCTGGAGCATCGGTCCCGCAGGACCACACAGGCTGCAGCTGGAAGCATGGGCCGACGTGAGAGAAAGACCCATAGCCCAAAATGTGTCACAAAGTACAAAAGTTCTTTATTTCAGAAGGCCCCTGAGTGAGCAGCCAGCGCCACTGCATTCGCAGCTACACTATAAAAGGTGACCGTGGAACGGGGAGGGGGGGCTGGGAGGGCTCAACCTCTGCGCCCCCCAATTTTCTTCCATCAAGGGAGTTTTCTCAGGCGCGACCAAGGCTGGGTGAGACGCAGGAGTGGGGAAGGAGCTGGGCCCTCTGGGGTTTGCCTAGCCAGGTTCCGCGCCTGCGAGCGACAGTAGCCAGTGCGCCTTGGCGCCGCTGCTCGTCACCGGCCCAAACACACCCCAACCCTGGTAGCCTGTCCCTTGAGAGCCACCCTCCTGCCACTCTTGGCGTCTGCCTCCCTCACTTTGGGGGGCTCAGGGTCCTCAGGGGGGACCCCTGCACGTAAGCCAGGACAGCATTTTGCAGGAAGCTGGCCCTCTGGGCCTCCTCATCTCGGATCCGCGCTATCTCCGCCTCCTTGAGCCGCAGCTTCTCTCGGAGCGAGGCGTTCTCACTCTCCCGGTCCAGCAGCGCCTCCCGGTGGTCACTCGCCATCACTGCAGGGGAGGCAGTTCCGAGGAAGGATGGCAGGACAGAGGCGGCCACCATCTCCCCGCCCCGACCAGAGGCCGCAGGTGCGGTTTTCTTAGGGTCCCCCAGACGCAGACACACCCAGCCCCGCTGCAGCGCCTCTCTGAGCTGCTGAGACCTGGGCCAGGCTCAGCCCTGCAGCCCAGTCGCCTGGCCTGTGGCCCAGGGAGAGAAGGCCCTGCAGAGCCACAGGCAGGGCAGGGCTGGGGCTGAGCTCACCTTTCAGCTGGCGCTCCAGGGCCGCCACCTTTTCTTTCAGCGCCTCCTGGGCAGTCAGCTCAGCCTGCAGGCGGCCGATCTGCTCCTGGAGCTCCAGGCGCACCCTGGTCACCTCAGCCACCTTCTCTTGGTCCTTGTTACTCAGCTCCTGCCAGGTGCAGGGTGTGAGATAGCGGCTGGGGGCCAGAGGCGCCCCCAGGAAGCCCTCTAGTCCCAACTACCTGCTGCAGCTCCTCCAGGCGCCGCCGCAAGCCCTCCAGCTGCAGGCCCAGCTGGCCAGCCCGGGCCTGGGCCTCAGCCACTGCCTGCCTCTGCTGCAGGCAGGTGCTCTGTGCCTCGTCCCGCGCCTGTGCCAGCAGACGCAGCTTCTCCTCCAGGTGAGCCTGGTGCTGCTGCTGTGGGTGCCGAGGGGCTGGTGAGTGTGGGGAGTGGGAGAGGGGCGGCGCCAGGCCTGCCTGCTGCTCTCAGGAGCCTGATCCTGAGCTTGCACAGAGTGACTGTCAGCAGGTGGGGATGACCCACCTGGGGGGGCTCCTATTAGCCACAGGGGAAGTGCACCTGGGCGACCTGTTGTGTTTACTCCTGAGCTCAGCTAGAGTGAGCCTCGTGGGCCTGGCTCCCCACCCTCACTTCCCAGCCCCTGGCGCACCAATGGCTACAGCCCTTCCCCACCCTCAGGCTTTCTGTGGGATGCTGGACACGGGGCTCCTGGGACAAGTGTCCTGCTCTGACTTCCCTACTCCTGCACCCTGGGGCTCCTGTCCCCTCACCTCCCCACATCCCCCATTGCCCTGGGCAGAGCCAGGAGACAGCCCTGGCCTCGCCCACCTCGGGCCTGCTGCCTGGCGGGCGCTGGCAACAGTGGGCAGGGCCCAGTCTTGGCCAGGGTGGTGGGCTCACCTCCTCCAGGCGGACCTGGTTCCTGGCCTTGATGAGCTCCTCCTCTGCCTGGCTGCGTTCACTGAGTGCCAGTGCCTTCACTCGGCTCACCTCCTGCAGCAGGAGACCCTGGGGCCTGAGGCTTTGGCCCCCCCGCCAGCCCCGAGCCCACCGGGCCTAGCTTCCACAGCCAAGAGAGTCCCCCGGTCTCTCTGGTCTCAGTGGGCCACCAGGAGGGACCTGGTGAGGCGGAGACCACGGTGGGGTGCCCAGCCAGCCCAGCACAAACTCACCTCCTCCAGGGACAGCCGCGCAGCCTCCAGCCTCTGTACTCTGTCCTGCATGGCTCGCTCGCTCTCCTCCAGGTGGCGAGTCATGTGCTCCACCTGCCCGGGCACAGGGCGGGGACAGGGCCGTCAGGCTGGTGCCCCGGCCCTCCCCACGTGGGATCCCCACCCTGGCAGACAGGCTAGTCCTGGGGACCCAGTCCCTTCCACGGGGCTGCCCTTGGCCCTCAGAGAGGGGAGGCGGAAGGCAGGCCCAGCACCACGCCCCAGAGGCACAGAGCACACAGCAGCGTGCACCGCGGCCCCTGTGCAGTTGGGGTGCCCTCTAGAGCTTGGTCAGGAGGCCCTGCTGGAGGACCGCCGTCCAGCACCCCAAGGTGGATGAGGGGAGCCCGGCCTGGGCTGTGCTTTGGGGACACTGGGCCACACGGAGACATCTGCAGGCCCCGGGAGGCCAGAGGGGACAGCAGAAGGCCAGAGGCCGGTACGAAGGAGGCACCTCCTTGGCGCGCAGCTGCTCCAAGTCCTCCAGGTTCTGCCGAGACCGCCGCTTCTCCAGCTCCAGGCGCTCTGGAAACGCAGGGAAAGGTGTGGAGCGGCTCTCCCGGGCCCTTGTTCCCAGGGCTCCCCACTGCCTCTCCCTGGCCCCCGTCTCCAGGCCTCCGCTCGTGCCCACCCTCGGCCTGCGTGGCCCGCATCTTCAGCTCGGCCGATGTGTTGGTCAGCTCCTGCCTGGCCAGGAACAGCTGGTCCTGCTGTGACTTCATCTTCCGCTCCAGCTCGTCCACCTGGGGAGACGGCACCGTGGGAGGGAAAGGCTGGCCCAGGCCCGCGCCCACCCGGAGCTCCCGGGGGCCCAGCCCCACACCCCCACACCTGGTTTCGGAGAAGCAGGCTCTTTTCGTTGGCAGCAGACAAGTCCCTGAGCAGCTTAGACTCCCGCTCTGCAGCTTCCTGGGGGCGGGATAGGGAAGGGCACCGGATAGGGAAGGGCACCACCCATGGGCCGCCTGCCGCCATGTCTGCCCACCTGTCTGTGTCCGCCCCCTGCCCGCCCACCTGCTGCGCGAGCCTGTGCTCCTTGGCCTGCCTCTGTGCCTCGTCCCGCTGTTCTTGCTCTGCAGTGACAAGGAGACCCCCCAGGTCCTGGGCCTTCTGCTCCGACAGAGCCAGGGCGGCTTGGGTCATCTGCAGCCTGCAAGGAGGGTAGGGCCAGGCCCGCCCCGGCCCCATGTCAGCCTTGCAAAGGCCTCCTGGGCTCACTTTTGCCAGGTTGCTATTCCCCTCCTCCAAGAAGCCTTCCAGGCTTTTCACCCAGCCCTTCCCCACATTTTCTTTTTTTTTTTTTTTTAATAAATTTATTTATTTATTTTTGAATTATGCTGTTACAGTTGTTCTATTCCCCCCTTCATTCCCCTCCACCCTGCCCCCCCAACCCCACCATTACCCCCCTTTAGTTTATGTCCATGTGTCTCAAGTCCTTTAGGTTCTATATTTCCCATACTATTCTTGCCCCCCCCCCCATCTATTTTCTATCTACTGTCTATGCTACTTGTTTTCTGTACCTTCTCCCCCCGTCTCCTCCTCCCACTCCCCTGTTGCTAACCCTCCTTGAGATCTTCATTTCTATGTTTCCACTCCTGATCTAGCTGTCCTTTTAGTTTGCTTTCGTTTTAGGTGTGGTTGTTAATAACTGTGAGTTTGTTGTCCTTTCACTGTTCATGTTTCTTTAACTTCTTTTTCTTAGATAAGTCCCTTTAACATTTCATATAATAAGGGCTTGGTGATGATGAACTCCTTGAATTTGGTCTTATCTGAGAAGCACCGTATCTGTCCTTCCGTTCTAAATGAAAGTTTTGCTGGGTAGAGCAATCTTGGTTGTAGGTCTTTAGATTTCATGACTTGGAATATTTCTTTCCAGCCCCTTCTTGCCTGTAAGGTCTCTTTTGAGAAATCAGCTGACAGCCTGATGGGGACTCCTTTGTAGGTGATTGTCCCCTTACCTCTTGCTGCTTCCAGGATTCTTTCCTTCATTTTAATTTTGGCTAATGTAATTATGATATGCCTTGGTGTGTTTCTTCTTGAGTCCAACTTTTTTGGTACTCTCTGAGCTTCTTGGATTTCTTGGAAGTCTATTTCCTTTGCCAGATTGGGGAAATTTTCTTTTATTATTTGTTCAAATAGTTTTTCCACTGGTGGTTGTGTCTTTCCCCCTTCTGGTACCCCTATAATTTGGATATTGGAGCGTTTATAGATGTCCTGGAGGTTCCTAAGCTTCTCCTCATTTTTCTGAATTCTTATTTCTTCATTCCTTTTTGTTTGATGATTTTTTTCTTCTTCCTTCTGGTCCACTCCATTGATTTGAGTCCCAGTTTTTTTTTCATCTCTATGGGTTTCCTGTGGAATTCCATTCATTTCCCTTAATTTAGCCTTCATATGTTTCTCTAATTTGTGGCTATAGTCCACCAGATCTGTGAGGAAGCTGATGACCAGTGTTTTAAACTGTGCGTCTGAGAGATTTGCTATTTCTTCATCACTTAGATTTATCTGTGGGGCTTTGAGGTCTTCCTGCGACATTTTTGGTCTGTTCTGGCCCTTTAAGTGGGAGGAGCGGCGCCTTGGATTCGCAGGTCGCTGGGTTGTGACGCTGTATGTGGGGGCGTGGTCAGAGCGGGGAAATGGCGCCGCTGGTCCAAGCGCTCACTCCCTCACCCGCGTGCAACCATGCAACCTCAGTCAACTCGCTGCCACCGCCTCCCCACTGACTCGTCCGTAGTCGCTCACCCGGTGGGCCGCTCGGTTGCTCACTAGGTCCAATCCTGGGTTTGGAACCCGTGCGACTGGATTCGCGCGTCTGGATTCCGCGCCCGGGTCGACTCCTTTGTAACTCCTCACCCGACGCCGGTTTCGCCCCTTACCGGTCGGGCCGAAGAATTTGTTGTTAGCGGACTTCCGAAAAGTTCAGTTTTCCGTGTTCTGGTTGTGTTTTCTGATGCTAATATTTAGTTGTCCCTCAACTTGGTTGTGTGAGGAGGCAGGCACATCCACCTTAAACCTCCATCTTGGCGGAAGTCCCCCCCACATTTTCTTTATACACACAAACTTGGGTCCCTGTGTGTGGTCCCCTGCCACCCCTGCATTGCTCACTTGGCCTTCAGGGCACTGATGATGGAATGCCTCTCGTCCAGGGCTTCCTGAAGCTGTCCCACACGTGCTGCCGACGTCCTGCAGGCGACAGGAGGGTCTGAGGAGCCGCCAGAGCCCTCCCGGCCCCTGGTCCTGGAGCTGCCTGCACCTCCAGCCACCTTCCTCGGAAAGCCGCCCCGGCACTGCGCCCCGCAGCCTGCTCACCTGCTGCTCCTGGCCATCTCCTCTCGCTGTTTATCAATCGTCTCCATCAAGTCCAGGAACTGCGGACAGAGACGGCCACAGCCCTGTCAGGGCCCGGGCCCGGACCCTGCCCACTGCTGTTGGGCAGGAAGGAGAGGGGATGCCCTCCGAGGCGCAGCCCAAGGCGGAAGTCCACACACCCAGCAGGAGGAGGTCAGTGCAGGAAACCGGCTCGCGGGCTTGGCGTCAGCTGCTAGAGAGGGGCCAGGGCTGGGCCAGGCCAAGGCTCTGAGGTTGGAGGCTCACCTGCTTGGACTTCTCTTCCCGCAGGTGCCGCACCTCCTTGCTGAGCACACGGGCTCGGGCCCGGCTCTCCCGGAATGTGGCCTGCCGGTCCTGGTTGTGGTCCATGGCTTGCTCTGTTGGAAGGAGCCGAGTTACCCACCAGGGGCCGCTGAGCCTCGGGAGGGGCCAGCAGCCATGAGTTTGAGAATCAGAACTTCGAGGCCACATCTCACCCCACTGTAGGGCCCACTGTGGAGCCCGGGGCTGTGGGGGCGAAGGGCTTCAGCGTGGCTGGGGGGGCAACAGTGGGGTCAGGAGTCCCAGAGGCATCAGGTCTGTGGTGGGGGCACATGGAGAGGGGCGTTTGTTCTCCCTCCCAAAGGTCAGAGACCACCGTGTGACTTCTAAAGGGTGAACACTGTTAAGCTCCTGCATTCCAGAAAGACCCGGGCAGCGCTGGGAGAGGGGTGAGCCTGAAGTGGCTGTGATGACGGAGGCAATATTAGCAGATGCTGGGTAGCCCGGAGGCAGGCCAGGGATGAAGAGGCAGAGGGGACAGGGGTCAGGCCGGCCCAGCAGGAGGTGGTGATCTTGGTAGGGGTCCAGCCCAAGCTCAGGCCCTCAGGGGGGCTGCCGGGACAAGGACCTACAGAGAATGACAGAGAGCTCTGCTGGGCCTGGGGCGGGGACGCCAGCATCACTGATGGGAGAGGGGCATGGAGGTGAAGCCTGGACCTGGCGGCCCTGCCCCCACACACACCTGTGCACACCCCTCGCCCAGCGTCCTCCTCTGTGAAATGGGGGAGCACCTGAGGGGGACCTCAGAACCGGCCGAGCAGGTTCCAGGAGTGGCTCCTGCTCTCCGTGTATAACCCTGGCTGCCACCAGGGGACCCCCACAACCCACCCACCCAGAGAATGGGCCTCTGCTGCGGGGGGTCAGCTCTGTGCCCTGCTTGGAACTGTGCGCCCTCACCCACAGCTCTGAGGACGTCACTGGGGACGTTGTTCCCAGCCAGCTCCAGCTTCCACAGGGTTCTGTTGCTGGGGAGACAGTTCACCAGGGCCCGGCCTCCCAGGAGGCCGATGTTATTCCAGCGCAGGTCTAGAAGGAAACCTCTTGTCACCCGGGGAGCCAGCCTAGCCTGGGTGCTTCCTTTGGGGCATCACCAACAGAGCAGGGGCTCAGCGTAGCTCACTCTTCCTCCCCACTCTGACCCCTGGCCACCACAGGACAAAGGAAGTATTGGGAGGGCTGAGGGAGCAAGGTGCCTGGCCAAGGTGGCCGTCCCAGCGCCTCACCCAACTGCTGGAGGCTGGTGTTGCTCTTCAGGGCCAGGGCCAGCTCCTCTGCGCCCTGGTGGCTGATCTGGTTGTTGCGGAGGTCCAGCTGCCGCAGGATGCCGTTGCCTGCCAGGGCCCGGCAGAAGGTGGCGAAGGCATCTTCCCACGTGCCCAGGTTGTTCCACTCCAGGGTGAGGCTGCAGGGAAGGTGGACATGAGGTGTGTGGCCCAAGGAACACTCTGCTCCCACAGGGTCCAGGGGTGCTTGGGGCCGCAGGCCTGGGGGTCTCTGGCAGGAAGTCTGCAGCCGTGGAACTTGTTCCCTCCCAATTCCCACAGATGGACAGGAATATGGACAACCGGCCAGAAGGCCTGAAGGTTCGGGTGGCAGAACCCAGTCCTCCAGGTTCAGCCCTGACTTGAGCAGAGAAGGTCAGGGTGTGTGTGTGTGTGTGTGTGTGCAGGGGGGGGGGCACCTTGCCTCTGAATGGACGTGCTGTGTCGCAGGAGTCTTCCCAGCGCCTCAGCCCCTGCGGCCTGAAGGTTGTTGCCCTAGGACAGGAAGAGGCGGGCCCTCCTGCTCAACCCACAGGGTCCCTGGGCCACTCAGGCAGTGGGTGAGGCCAGGCTCTGTGGAGAGCGTGGGGAGCCTCCTGGTGCCAGCTTGTCCTGCTTGCTCAGGGCCACCCTAAAGCCACCCCCGCCCCTAGGACTCCCACGTGTGCCAGAAGCCACTGGAAACAGTGCGAGGCCCTGCGCGCTGGCCGTGCTCACAGATGGGTCTCCGGCCACTGACCAGTGCCCAGGTGGCCAGGACACTCACGTCCTCCCTGCTCTTGTGGCAGGTCCCCTCACCTTCAGATCCAGACACCGCAGGACAGTGTTGGCACACAGCCCCTGGAGCAGCAGTGCAGCCCCTGTGAGAGACGGGGCAGTCACTCTCTGCCCCTGGGCTCTTCCCAGGAGCCCCATCTCGGGACACCTCCCTAGATACGTGGAAGGACATCAGGGTTCATGCCATGTGCGAGTCACCCCCTCACTGTGTCAGGTTTGAAACACTTACAACTTCTGCCCAGCCTGGAGTCAGGCCAGTGTCCCCCTGGTGCTCACCAGCGCCCTGGGGCTCTCCGAAGGCTTCTCTGTGACCAGGGGACACTGCCCTCTGCTCCCAGGCTTCAAGAAGGGACCCTGATGCTTGATTTTCCTAGAACCCCAGGGGAGGAACCTCCTGAAGAGACCAGTGGGACAGGGGCAGCCATGGAGCAGTGGGCAGCCTAAACAAAGCGAGGAGACGCCGCCCTGGCTCTAAGGTTGCCAGCCTGCTTGGCCCCTGCAGGCCCTCGGGCCCACCTTCCTCGCTCAGCATGCAGTCGCTGAGAACCAGCTCCGTTAGCTGTGCTTCTTTCTGCAGCAGCTCGCCCAGGGCCCTGCAGGTGTCCAGGGTCAGGCTCTGCGTGGCCAGGTCCAGCCGGCCCCGCGGCGCCGCGTGCAGCTGCTGCAGCACAGCCTCCTGGGGCTCGGCCCCGCTCTCCTTGCATAGCCGGCTGTAGGAGCGCGGCAACTCCTCCATGGCCCAGGGCTGCCTCCGCGCGCCTGCAGCCGGGCCGCACCGTGCGGCAGCAGGACCCGAGCTGCTTGCCTGGCGGCCCGGCTCCTCTCCCTGAGGACCCACAGAGGGCCCCGGCCGCTCCGTGGCGGGCACAACGAGCCCAGGTCCGGCCTCGGTAGCCGAGGAACCAGGAATTGAGTGCGTTCTACAGGTGGAAGGCCCCAGGAGGGCGGGTGGTGACCCCGGGAACACGCGAGCATGCGGCGCTAGAGCAAGGACCCCTTGGGGGTGGGTCCTCCTGCGCCGGGGCTGCTCCGGGCGTCGCGCGTATCCTGGGCCCCGGCCCTGGCGCCGTGGACCCTCGCTGCCCGCTCCTGCCTACGCGGCCATCACTGCGCCTCAGTATCCAGGAACAGGGAAGAGAGGTAGAAACTACAACTCCCAGAGGGCTTTGCGCTAGACACTGGCCAATGATGGCAAGGGGTGGGCACACGCTTGAGGAGGAGCCAAGGCAACCCGCTCCGGGTCCATTGAGAGGGGGGTAGAGGCGGGGCTGCGGAGGGCGCGCTCAGGTGTGATTGGTTGGAGGCGCGGGAGCGGGGCCTGAGTGGGCCTGCTCAGGGCACGAGGACTGGAAGTTCGGGGGCGGGACTCCGAGGAGCGCGGGACGCGGCGGTCATGGAGGGAACTGGTACGTCTTTCCGGAAGGTGAGAGAGGGTGGACAATGTGAGGTGCTGGGGTCGGGAGGCACCCATGGGGTGGGGCAGTGAGGACCCTACGGCCGCGCCCTACGCGTGACCCACGTGCCCGCTCTTCGCCCTCTGGGGTGGGCTCCCGCGGCCGGGCAGCTGACACTGGACAGACGTGGGCGCCGCGCCCGCAGAAACGCAGGGGGAGCTCAGAAAGGAGCCTAGGCCCGCGCCTGCCGCTCTCCCTGATGGCTGGGAGTCGGGTGGGACATTCCCTAAACCGCCCGGCGTAGGGCACAGGTCCGCCCAGCTCTGATACTGTCACGTCGTTGCACTGCCTGAAGCTTCCCCCTGCCCGTTGCCTATCACGTGAGCCTGTGATTCCGTCTCACCTGAGTCGAGCTGAAGCCCTGATGCAGCTGCGTTTCCGAGCAGCACCTGTTTGTCTAGGTTCAGTCAGGCGTGTAGGGGCGTGCTTCCTTAACAGCACGCGTGGCAGCCACGCATTGTTGTGTGCACTCGACATTAACCCACTTAATGCGCAACCATCCTGGCAGATGGGCACTGGCACTTTCGCCACTTAACAATGGAAAAACGGAGGCAGAGCTGGCGTCTCACCCTTTGCTCTGCACCTGGTGAATGCGGCTGGCGCTGCAACTTGTTTCTGAGTCTCGCTTCGTTGCTATGCCCTAAGGTGAGGGAGCACTGAGTCCTTGAATCAGGAAGGTGCACCTGGGGGGCTGTGGGCCTTGGAGACCTGGGCACTTCTTTGCTCCCTCCCAGCCCCCAGTGGGGGTTTCGGCCTTGCAGAGGTGTGAAGCACTTCCCTCTAGCTTGTCTCCTGCCTCGGTCCTCTCCTCTCCTTCATCACCCAAGATTGTGGCTCTGCCCCAGCCCAGAGGGGTTAGTCACCTAAAAGGGACAGTTACCGAGGCAGGGGTGACGGAGCAGAGTAGTTGTGAGAATCCCATCACAACAGCTGGAGAGGGGAACTCGGGACTGTGGAGTCCTCCAGCCAGGCGCCCTGGCGGGGCTGGGGTTGGAGTCACTGCCCACGAACAGGGCTACCTGGCCGGTGGGACCGCGGAGGAGGGGCTGTGGCGCCTGCTCCCAGTGGGGCAGAGGCGGAATGTGCCCAGGTCCCTGCTCCCTTCCGGTCTCCCTCGCTTCTTTGTTTGGGAGCTGCCACTCCTTGCTGGCGCCGACCGCTTTCCGTGCTGCAGCGGTTCCACGCAGCAGACCCCTGTGCAGCAGCGGGGCTGCTTTAGCTCTTCCTGGGGTGTCGCGGTCCGGCCGCAGCTGGGTCCAGGGGCTCCTGAAAGGTGGGTAAGGCGTCGGCGATGGGAGACGGATGACAACGGGACTCAGAGGACGGTGAAGCTCTGTTCTGTTTATTCAAGTACAAGCAGGTTTTTATATTTTCATTTTTGACAGTGATTAACATTTGCGGTTAGGCAAAGCAGGAAATTTTCTACCCGGATATTTTAAATCAGACAGTTAGAAATAGCTGTATGTACAGAGTTTGAATGTCTTATTGTTTATTAAAGTTCTCAGAATTTGTCATGGGGCAAAAGGATATGCTAGATTGAGTAGGGGTTATAGGAAATTTATTATAAGGCCTTTGTGATGTCTAACTTAGCTATCTATCTTTTCTAAAATGTTTCTCTATGTACTGTGGACTCTGACTCCCTGGTAATGGTTTCTACATGCTTAATTTGTAATAGCTAACCAGCTTCTCTTATTTCTTTGCCTGTATAATTCTAATGGATATATATTCCTATTCAAGGTAAAGGAGGGGCTGTTACTCCAACAACTTTTAGTTGTTCAGGGGCTATTTCATTAGAGGGGATTTTGTTCTCTGGTCAAGAAATTATTTTGTACAACTTCATTGGAATTATGCGAATCAAATGGGCCTGAAATGCAGGTGTCTAACAGTCCCACCACCTTTTATCACATAAGTTCTTTTATGGGAACAGTCAGGGATAATTTCCTACTCAGGTTTATAAACACCTTGTTTATACGTTTTGGGCATGATTCAATGGTCTGGGGAGAACTAGGTGTCCCTTCAGAATTTTCCTCAAAGTCAATCATTGACTCACTTCGAGCCTCTTTCTCTTCATGGCCTGTTCCTACGGGAATCAGGGTACAATGTAAGACCATGAACAACATCAGCAAAGAAGTTACTAAGAGCAGTCCCCCCAAATTACTGCCCACCTTTGCATACCATGTTCTCTTCTGTAAAGATGGATTCCTTGAATTCCTTCTTTCCACGTCCGGACCTTGTGGGACAACATGGTTGGAAGAGGACGTGGCACTGGGGGTCCAGGAGCTAGTGGGGCAGTAGTGCCTTCTGGGTCTTTCCTAAAACCTTCCTGGTGAGCAGCAAGGAGGACCAGCAGGTGGCTCCAAGCTCCAAGGTCAGAGCTGGGAGGGAGGGAGAGGCTGCTGCGGCTCCCCCTAGTGGCCGGTGGTAAGTTCTCACCCTTCCAAGTTTGGGCCCCATTGGGTCCATGTCACTGTTCCTGGGCGCTCAGCTGCGCTGGGTGAAGCAGCAAAACCTCCTGGGGGCAGAGTGGGCCCCAGCTCACCAGCCCTGCAGGACACCCAGCTTGGCTACTGCCCTCCGGCCGCCACAGCACCCTGCTGGCCTCCGGCTCCCAGCCTCTTCGGGCTGGCCCTTACTCCGGCCAACCTCGAGTGGTCCACCCACCTGTGGCCATGTTCCACATCCTCTCCACCAGCTCTGACCTTCTAGAAAGCCCCTCTCAGCTCCAGCCCCACACAGGGCTGCTCTGCTTGGGTGTCTGTGTCTCCCTCATTCAGCCTGTCCCACGCTGAACTCCTGAGACGCTGGTCCCCAGGATCAGTCTCCACCCAGAGCCCCTGCCTCTGCAAAGTAGCCCCGGTCTCTGGGGGTTCAAGCCCCTGCCTTGAGTCTTGGCCTGGACCCTCCATGTCCCATCCATGTCTGTCAGGACATCCCGAAAATACACCCGGGCTCTGTTCCCTACCTCTGACCATCCCTTGACCCAGCACTGCCGATTCCGCGGTGCCTGCTTCAGGCACCTCGAGTTGCAGGGAGGGACGGCGGTGCAGCGGTCCACGGGGAGGGCGGGGCCTTGGCCCAGGGGTGGGGTGAAGCGGGAGGCTGCCCCGGACTCCAGCAGAGGAGTCCCAAAGGGGGGGAGGGCCGACATTGCGCTGTGCCCACCCGCCCAGTGCCTGCGTCTCCCTTCTGGGCCTGGAGGCACGCGCACTGCCCACCCTGGGAGAGGCCGCAGGGGACAGAGTGTTGAGGCCACAAATCCCAACCTCTTCCCATCCAGAACAAATGCCTCAGGAGTCTGTCGCCGTGGGGTGGGATGGGCCAGGCCCAGCGAGTCACTGTGTCCTGCTGGTCCCCCAGGAGCTGGTGAGCAAGCTGCTGCACCTGCACTTCAAGGACGACAAGACCAGAGGTGTGGGCACCAGCCCTGGGGCGGGCGGGGGGCAGCAGCCTCCAGCAAGGGCTCAGCCATGACCTGCCCCTTCCACCTTGCAGTCAGTGGGGACGCGCTGCTGCTCACTGCGGAGCTGCTGAAGGTCTTTGTCGTGGGTGAGCGAGGGCCCTGGGCTCCTGGCCCTGCTTGTACTTCCTTTCCCAGTGGGGGAACCAGGACATCTGCTTTCCCCACTTTCCCACCAGAGCCCTTTAGGCTGTGTCCCTGGAACGCTCCAGGTGACAGGGGTTGTGCCTCGACCCATTGAGCTGGCGGCACAGGCTGGGGAGCTGGGGGGGGGTCAAGCCCTCCAACCCCGTCCGCCTCCCACGGCCCTCCTGTGTCATGGCAGAGGCAGCCATCCGCAGCGTTCGGCAGGCGCAGGCCGAGGACCTGGCCTGTGTGGACGTGGACCAGCTGGAGAAGGTGCTGCCTCAGCTGGTAGGTGGCCCCGTCCATCCCTGTGGGTGGGAGTAGGGCCAGGCCAGAAGAGCAGGTGTGAGGGGTGGGCAGTGCTCAGAAGACCGTCTCCTCTCCCCACAGCTCCTGGACTTCTAGGGTGCCCACCCTCGCTGGGCCGCCTGTCCCGCTCAGCCCAGTCCCACGCCCACAGGTCTGGGGCTTCTGTCTTCAGACGGCAACAAGGCTGCCGGTCCCAGCAGCATGCTGTTGTCCCTCACGTCCCCTCTGCCCTGCGGGTGACCGGACACAGGTGTGCCAGAAGTGGGGCCTGTGACCTCTGCCGACAAGCCAAGCTGCACAAGCCACCACTGGCATCAAAGCTGGCCTGTCACTTCCGAACCAGGTGCTGCTCCCTCAGCTGAGAACCAGCCCCCACAGAGAGAGCAGTGACAATAAACCAGCGCTGCCTCGCCCAGCCAGAGCCTCTGCCTTGCCATCAGTCTCCCACAGCCCAGCTACTCAAAGCCCCTTGCCCCCCTCCAGCCCCATCCCGGGAGGGCGAAGGCTCCCATGTGCGCCCCGCTCTGCTGGGAGCACTGCGGCTGCCCCCCTGCACACAGCTCGGCTCCACCCTCACCCTCCCACCCTGCAGCACCCAGGACGGGAAACACCCAAAGGGCTCTAGGCCCAGCGACTGCAGACACAAGTCACGACAAGTGCCCTCTGGAGAGGACCGTCGGGGTGGCGTGGCAGCTGCCCAACCTGCCAGCACTCCCACCCCCCACACCTGTGGGCAGCATGGGCCGGGGGACAAGCCCTTCACCCCTAACTTGGCCCCGAGGGCCTCTTCCTGCACCCTTTCCCCTCCTCTGTCCCCCACCTTCCTCTCCCCACCCCTTCAGGGAGTCTCTGGGCTTCAAAGGGCTGGGAGCATGTGGAAGTAATTAGACCTGAAGGGAGAGGCTGGCGACAAGTGCCAGAACCCGTGCCCCACAGCCACTTTGAAGTACCTCGATGGGGGTGGTGGGGGAGGGCAGGCGGGAAACCCCAGGCCGGGCCCTGCCAGCCGGTGGGCGGAGGCCACTTCCTCCAGCCTTGCCTGCCAGGGGCCGGGGTGCCCGTGGGCAGGGCCGTCTGTGCCTGGAGGCCCTTGTCCCCCATGTGTTCCCAAGAGGAGGGTAATTAACGGTGTCAGGTGAAAGCCAAGGGGAGGCAGCAAAGGGGGGACACCTGTGCCCTCATTAATGAGAAGGGGGGGTGGCAGGGCCAAGACCTAAGGGCTCTTCTTGGGAGGAGGAGGACCAGAGGGACTCGGGTGTTCCAGTCTTTATTTGCATCGGGGTGGGGAGGGGTCCTGTTGCCAGCAGGGCAGGAACCTCTGGCTGGCAGCTCTCACCTCTTGCTGGCTGCAAGGAGACAGGCCAGGATGAGCTGGGGGCCCCAGGCTCCTGCCCAGCAGCCCCTCCCAGCCTGGCCGCCCCCCATAGTACCTGGCAACTTCAGCCACTTGGGCACCTTGCCCAGATCCCTCCTTAAAGGCTGGGCCGGCTCAGGGCTGGGCTCAGGGGGCCCCATGGCATCCTCCTGGGCAGCTGCCTCTGGCTCCAGGGGCGCAGGGTCCAGGGCAGGCAGTGGGGACTGGGCGGCCGTGGCCCTGGACATGCACCTGGAGGTCGGAGTCCGAGGCAGAGGGTTGCAGGCTTGGCAGTGGTGGTGGACCCCCCCAGGTGCCCCCCGCCTCCAGCCCTCACCTGGCCACCAGGGTGTCAGCTGCAGACGGGGCGATGGTGTGTTCCAGCAGCTTGGGGTCCAGGTAGAGGCCTGTGGGAGGCCCGGCCCACCCTCAGGCCGTGGAGGAAGAAGGGGCCCACCCCCACCGCTGTGCTCTGGCAGGGGCAAGGCCTGGGCAGGTGGCTGTCCCGAAACCCCAGGGAGTCATGTATGTGAGGACGGGGCGGGGGGGGGGGGGTCAGGCCGCAGGTCCCCTTCCAGACCCAGAGGCAGTTCCCGCTCCAGGGCACGGGGCTGGTAGTAAGCAAAGGCCCCACTCACCTGCGGGCTCCTCGGCTCCAAAGTGCACCAGGGCAGCAGGGAAGAGCTCTGCCTGCAGGGCGGGCAGAGGGGCCGGGTGGGCACTGTGGGTGGGGCCCAGCAGGGGTGCTGCACTGGAGGGGACACACCAGTCCCTCCCAGCAGTGTGGGTGCCCAGCCCCCGAGCCAGCCAGGCTGGGTGTCTGAGCACAGAGTCCCAGGGCCCAGCCCCCAGCACCAGCTAGTGAGGAAACTCTTGCCCCCTGTGCACTGGCCTTGTCATCCACCACTGCCCGGTCCCAGGGTGCACTGAGCACCGGGAAGGCGGTGCTGGGCCTGGAGCAGCGGGCCCACAGGTCAGAATGACAGGTGGGGGTGCGGGGAGGGGGCACTGTATGGGGCCCAGGAGGCAAGGGCAGCTGCCAGCCCTTCCTGAGGGTGCCCTGGGCTCCCCTCCCCTAGCCACGTAGCCTGAAGTACAGAGGTTGGAGTCTGTAGGGTGGTCGGGTGGGCCGCCCCCAGGCTGAGGGGGACCTGCAGCCGCCCACGGCTGCCACCCGTGAGGATGCCCACTGAGACCCTGAAAGCTACAACCTGGTCTGCAGACTGCGCAGGCGTGAAGCCCCTCCCTCCAGGTGGGCACCTTCCCCCAGAAGTCCCATCTGGGGGACAGCAGCAGGGACCGACCCCACCTGCACTGGTGGGTATGTCCCGAGAGGCCCCCCTGTGGTGCAGACTCCCGGCATCAAACCCGACACCCGCCCCTGCCCACCTCTGTGGGGGACGGAGGCCGAGGCCCTGTCCTCAGCCCGCTGGCTGCGCACTGCCCCCCCCACCCTGCTCCTAGTGTGGAGGTGGGGGTGTTATCCAGAGAAGCGTCCAGGCCAGGCCTGGGAGTGCTGTGACCACAGCCACGGGCAGGTGACACAGGCGAGGGCCGCGATGCTCTAGGCCCTGGGGCAGGGGGAGGCCCACCCTTCCTGATGTGGACAGACCCTGCCTCATGGGACCACCCTGACAGCACACGCTCCAAGCCCACCTGTGGAGGCTGGACCCTCTGGGGGGTGCTGGGCTGGAAGCCTCAAAGGAGCCCCCCACCGGCCTGCGTCCTGGGGATCCAACCAGACAGTGCAGACCAGACACACAGGCCACCGGGAGGCCCACGGCAGGTCTACCCCGCAGCAGGGCAGCTGGGCTGCTGTACCCTACACCCACCGCGGGCGGCAGGGACAGGGGCAGGCCCCCAGGCCGCCCTCCTGGATGGCCGGCAGCCAGAGCACAGCCAGCCAGGGACATGAAAGCCGGGCTTCCGCACCGCTCACTGAGGGCGGGCGGGGGCTTCCTTCCCTGAGCCCTGCCAGCTCTGGTCCCGGGCTGGCCGCCACCCCGTGGAGGCCCCGTGGCTCCAGGCCGAGCTGACGATGAAAGGAGCCGGCTGCTGGTAGCCGGGGGCAGAATGGGCAAGAAAGGCAGGACCCAAGGCGCCTCGTAGGGGGGGGTCTGAGAGCCGACCCCCTCCCCCCCACAGTGTGGGTCGGCAGGCTGTCTGGGGCGAGGTATGGGCAGAGGCCTGGGGCCTCCGGGCCTCCTGGGGCCGAGGGCGGCCCAGGCCCGGCTCCCGTCCACCTCGACTCCATTCTTTGGTGAACATCCAGCTTTCTGCCTGGTCTCATCCCTTCTCCCCACAACCGGCAGCCCCAACTCAGACCTCGCAGGGCCTGCGGGCCACTTAACGAGGGCTGGCCTCTGTTAGTAATTAAAATATCTGAGGAGGCTTTGAAGAGGGAACCATTAGGCCCAGGGCCGGGGAGGCCCCGGGCTGCCCTCCCAGGCGAAAGGACGGGACATTCCTCCGGGCTCTGGAAGCAGGCCCAGAAGGACGCCAGATCAACGCTCCTCACCCTCACAGGGAGCTCTGGGGCCGACAGGGCTGTCGGCCGGGAGCGACAGAGCAGCCGCCAGATCCGAGGGCCCGGCAAAGGGAGGCAGGGTAGGGAGGCAGGCAGCCAGCAGACCCTGGAGCTGCAGCCACAGCAGCAGGCACTGCAGGGAACTCCTGGGCAGCAGGCCCCTGCAGCGAGGGCTCTGACCCTCAACCCTTCAGCAGCTGCCCAGCTGCCCTGCCTGTGGGTCCCTGCTCGCCCAGACCCAGAGCCCATCCCCTCCGGTCAGAAAGCAGGGAGGCTGGGAGCCCCAGGGCCAGCCTCAGAGGCTCCCTGCACCTTCCAGTCCCGAGTGCGAGTCACCGCAACGTCACACTCTGACACTGGCCCCGCCCTGCGGGGTGGCCCCAGCTGCCCTCCCCTGGGCCGGGTGGTCAGTACCTGGAAGAGGGTCAGTGTGTGGTCGTCCAGGGTGGTTTTGGGAGGAGTGATGACTGTGGAGAGATCGTCGCCTTAGGAAGGCCTTGCCCGGGCCCCACCCGCGCTCCCACCCCCAGGGAGCCGGGCCCAGGGCCTGCAGCCTCAGCTGTCCACTGTGGCAAACTGCTGTGAGAGGCCTGGTTGGCGGGGGGACAACCTGGAGCAGTGCCCTATGGGGACCCCACCCCCACCACCCCCACAGCTCCTGCAGGCTGGGAGACCAGGCTGGAAGCAGAGGGGCGAGGGGCACCGGGTCGGGACAAAAGGCCACCACTCGCCCTGATTCCCAGATGTGGCCTCAGATACCAGCCACCTGCCCACAGCCCTGTCTTTGGGGGGGGGCAGAGCCCAGGGGAGTGGCACTCACACAGGTGGAAGGGCAGCTCGGGGTCCCCCAGGTGGCTCCTCACAAAGTCCCGCAGGTCCCCCACTGAGGAGGAAGGACAGGGTGAGCAGGGCCCCGGCCGCTGGTCCCAGCGCTGGCCCTCTGTGGGCCGGCCGACCTCTGCACAGGTGCCCACAACCTGCAGGCCCGGCCTCACCAAGCGGCCTTGGGGTCCTGCCACAAGCCCTGAGCAGCCTGGTCTCCTCGGTCTCGGGCAGCTGGCGCATCGCTCCCACCCCTCCTCAGGCCCAACCCAGCCCTGGGGGTGGGAGTGGGAGCTGGTCCCTGCCCGAGACCATGGCTGCACCTGGCACGGGCCACCCCAGGACCACCCCTCCCCCCAAAGAAAGGATCTTTTTGCTTTTCACCCTGCCCAGAGTCCGGGGCACAGATGAGGGGCAGCCCCAGGCCAGGCACTGCTCTGGGGGCCTCTGTCCAGGACAGGTGGGCCCTATGAGCATGTGGTGCCAGCCAG